CTCTCTCTCTCTCTCTCTCTCTCTCTCTCTCTCTCTCTCTCTCTCTCTCTCTCTCTCTCTCTCTCTCTCTCGTAAATTTTTTCTCTCAAGCATTCGGTGGAGCTTGAGGGCGACGGCCGCGGAGGTGGGGCAGAGAGCATCAGTGGGCTGGTTGGTGCTTGAGCGTTGTTTGAGCGGGTTGGCGGGTACTTGCAGCCATGGCGGAGACTTGGGAGATTGGCCTGTTCATTGCGGGACTGATTCTTTTCGGGCTGCTGAGTGCGTGGGCGTTTTACCTGACCAGCGATGAGTATCGCCTGCGTCGCAAGCGACGCCAGCTGGGGTACGAGGAAGACCAGGGCTCGATCTTCGGGCTCCTCTGTGCCCTGTGCATTGGGCCTGTCAACCGCTCTCGCTGGGAACGCCAGCATAAGCAATTTCGTACCCCCGACTATGGCAAACCGGACAAAGGTCGGCCCGCTGCTTTCAGCCACGCCCCCTTCAGCCTCGTCCATGCCAGGCGTGCTGGAAGCCTGCTGGTTTTGTTGGCCTCATCATGGCGCCCATTCTTTGTGCCATATGCTGTGATTGTAATGCTCCCCTCACGTTGTAGATTGGCAAAAGGTGCGGCCTAGCGACGAACCAGGCCAGGAGTGGCAGCTGTTGCCCCGCGGCGACGTGCAGGCTGATGGCAAAAGACTCGCCACATCAAAGCCGGCGCCGCCCATGGCCGACGTCGCTATCGCTGAGGAAAACAAAGAGGTATGGGATTCGCGCAAGGATCTCCCATCTCGCTGGCTACGTTGCACTGCCCAATTCGCCTATGCGTGTGCCATTAGCACCCTGCGCTCAGCTTCGCACCCCCTCTTGTCCTCTATCGCATCAGGACTCGGATGACGAGCAACATGATGGAATCTACCCTGCAGCAGCCCCTGCACCGTCTAAACTACCCCGTACGCTGCCGCTTGACCGCCGTCGCGCTTTGACCTTTGTCCCTCGCCTCACGCCTCCCATCTCTGCAGCTGCTCGTTCCATCTCCAAGCTGGCCATACCAGACTCAGATGCTCCTGCGGCGGCACCGCCAGCCCCCGCGAGCTCTGCCCCCGATGTGGCAGCCAAAGCTCGTGAAGCAGTTGCACGAGCCCAGTTGCACATGCGGGCCATCGAATTTGCACCTGCTGAAGCGATTCGTCCTCCAACCAGCTATTCACGCCCCCTGTCCACGGCGCAATTGGCCAGCGTGGTTCACAACATGACCATCACCTCACTTCAAGATGACTTTCGCACTTTGCCCTTGCATCTGGCCTCGTCCAAGAGCCTGGGCGAACATCTCCTGCGAGAACTTCGCGAGCCTCGCATCCTACCCTCTGTTACCACACGCATCCAGCTCGATCGCCCCCCAGGCGCAAAAATCTCTGGTGCGTTTACCCCCCGGGATCAGCTCTAAAACCTTTGATACTCCAGTCCCGACCGGACCTGTCTTTCGTGATACCTGGCACCATACTTGACTGGCCACATCAAGCCTCCGTTGCGTGCCCCAATCTCACCGCATTGCTCCTTCTCCGCCAATCCGCCCCCGCTGGATGCCTGTGCGCATGTCCATAGGTTTCATCAATGCCAACGCTGTGCGGGGGTTTCAGGGCAATCCAATGAGATTTATCGTCACCCAAGCGCCCCTATCGGGCTTTGAGAGCGGTCGCGTTGGCACTCAAGTGGCCTTCTGGTCCATGGTGTACCAGTACCAGGCCCCAGTCGTCATCATGCTCATCGAGCCCCAGCCTCACCGCTGCACCCGATACTGGCCTGTTCCTGACGGCAATCTCCGCTCGGGTCCATTCGAGGTTCGCCATCATGGATTTGACAAGCACAGAGGCTTCCTCGTATCATCCCTCAGCCTGACTTTGCGCGGAAAGACGCATCGTTTCCAGCACATCTGCCTTTCAGGGTAAGTATTGGTCACTCTGTTGTCGTTCGTTTCTTTCTTTGTGTGTGTGTGTGTGTGTGTGTGTGTGTGTGTGTGTGTGTGTGTGTGTGTGTGTGTGTGTGTGTGTGTGTGTGTGTGTGTGTGTGTGTGTGTGTGTGTGTGTGTGTGTGTGTGTATTTCTGTCTCCCCTATCAATGCTGAGCTCTGCCACACGTCAAGCACCAGACAGGCACCAGATGCTCGTCTTGCCCCAAGTCTTTCCTCATCATTCTTTGCGGCTCAATAGTTGGAATGAGCACGGCCTACCCCGGTCGTCCAAGAGCGTCATCGCCCTCCTGCGATACTTGCGCAACCTCAAAGTGCGAGGGCCCATCGTGGTTCACGATGATCGGGGCCTTGGACCCTCTGGTGTCTTTGTGGCCTCTGACTACTGCATTGATCAAGTATGTGCCCGATTGCAACGAGCTCAGATGTGCCTGCCACAACCAGCTCAATTTATTGCTGTTTTTGCTGTTCGAAGGCCCAAGCAGGAAAGGTGGACGTGATGCAAGCCGTCTACACACTGCGCCAGGATCGTGCCGCGCTGGTCGAGTCACGTGCCGAATATCAGTACATTCATCGCCTTGTACTCGGCTATTTAGATGGCAAAGACCAAAAGGGGGCAGCTGTGGCAAGCAACGCTGCTGCTCAACCTCCGCCCAAGACTAAAGCCATGCCTTCTGATATGCGTGTCAAACCTCAACCCTCCAAACCTGTGTCGTCAAGTGACCCGGCCTCAGCTGTACCTGAACCGGATCATGCCCCGCCGTCCTATCAACCAGCACCCAGGTTGGATCAGGCACTCTCAGCTTTATTCTTCGAGATTTGGCGCTTTGTGCTCATGCATCGTGGCTCTCATGCACAGGTACGGCAATGCCGAAACAGCGGACCATGGTGTTAATCGAGTCACTCGTAGGCCGAGTGAGGAGTCAAGCTTCTCCAACATTGCGCAGCGCGTAGGAGCAGGCAAAACTCAAAGGCAGTATGATGTTGACCACCTCGGCAAGGCCCCCACCTTACCAGAGCACTGAAAAGGGCCTCACACTGCGATCGCCGGCTTTTTGCCGCGCCGCTCCATGCGAGATATGGGAAGAATGCCTGCACAACTACCACCGTGTATGGAAACAATAATAATCGTCGTTAACTAAAAGTCTCAATTGTTGAAATCCAATTATCTTGTCGCTGTCATCGAGCCTCTTTCAATTTTGCATATTTTTGGAAAAAGACGTTATGGATGAACATAGCTATCGCGACAACGCCTGTGCTGATTACATTCTAACGTTGAAGGATAGTTGAGGCTGCCCTGAATGTGTTCTAATCAAACTCGATCGAGTGCAAGTAACAAGCCGAGCCTTTCAAAAAATCAAGCAAAAAATCCGAATTTTATGGTGTGCGCCAGATGTTGATTCGATTCATGATTTCCAATTAGCATGCCATGGGCCAGATTCAAACGTGGCTCTTCTTGGTCGTTTGTGTGTCAGATGCGTTAGATAGTCTCTTGCCACGAGAATGTGCTGCCTGCTCCGTTTTCGGTTCTTCAACAAATTCAATGTCACTATCGCTTCCTTGATCCTTGTTGCTGCGCGCTTGTGACGTAGTGGGCGATGAAGGTCCGGGCTCGTGCAGCGAGGTCTGCAATTGTGAGGGCGAGATGTGCACATCGGGCAACAAATCGGTTGGCGCCGGCGCGGGCTCGGGTTCCCGACTTTCAGAGTCAGGCGTCTGGTCCATCATGTCATTGTCTTCTGACCAAAAAACGCCTGTCTTTGCTATTTCAGGCGTCGTTGAGCGCGGGGGTACAGCGGGCTCCACCAGTTTGGGTGGCTCCTCTGATTCTGTACATTTATCGTCAGTCGCTCGGTCCTCGTTATCGCTGACCGCTGCACTTTCATCAGCACCAGCCGCGGCATTTGCCGCGTGGAGCTCGGCACTTCGCATTTCTATTGCGTCCAGAATGAGCCTGCTCGTGTTGGTTGCAAAGACACGTGTGAGAGGATGTGAAATGCGAGCTGACCAAGTGCAATGGCATCATACGACCAATAGCAACTAGATGCAGTCCACTTATCGCTCAACAGGACAACGCCACAACTCGACGAATCAAGGCGCTGTGGGTGACAAACTCACTTTGATATCTTGGACCGCTTTTTCGCGATGCGAGAGTGTGGAAACCAGTCGAGAGCTTCGTAGCGCGAGTCGCTCAAAGGGTATTCGAGCAGACCCATGGGCTCCTCAAGAAATCGTTCCACATATTGCAACACGAATACACCACAGTCACATGAATTGGACTGCTGAGGCACGCTCATCTGAACAACGGGCATTTCCAAATAGTTGCGTTCCTCCCGCTGTGACTGAGCCAGACCAGAGCTTTGATCCTTCCACAATGCCTGCAGGTACCTAACATCCGGAGACGAAGCATAAGAGAGAGAGAGAGAGAGAGAGAGAGAGAGAGAGAGAGAGAGAGAGAGAGAGAGAGAGAGAGAGAGAGAGAGAGAGAGAGAGAGAGCTTTAAGTGTAAAGAAATTATGAACCGACTAAGCAGGTATGATCAATGACAACTCACTGGCTGATGTGCTTGGGAGCAGCTTTGTGGCTACTTTGCAGGGAATCAAACACCAGAATGCAAGGCGCGCGCTCACTAAAAACACGTCAGGGGAGCACGTGAGCGCAAAGGAGCGAGCGGATGTAGGAGTACCAACAAACCAGTGCGGCAAAAAAATGGCTGCACTCAACGTACGACATGCCCAGCTTTCTAGCAGCAGCAGGACTGGACTTGGCGCTTGACGATTTGGATGCATAAGATTTGGCAGAGCCTTTGCGCCGACGCTCTGTTAGGCGTAGCGCAGTTGAGTCGCGATCGAAGAGCCTGCTATGGGTAAAATGGCAAAACATCATTCCACGTTTGTCATTGAGAAGATCAAACTTGCTCATGATGCAGCCCAATTGAGCTTTTGCCAACCGGCTTTTCATTCGCGTCTGGGAACACAGCGCTTTCGTCTTACTTGACAGGAGACGGAAGCAGCACATCTTCGGATGACGATGTTGGATTGGCGTTCTCGTCCATGCTCTTGGCATGTTGCTGCTGCGGCGGGTCACCACCTTGACTTTGCGTTGAGGGGGAGGAACACCTGAACAGACACCAAATCAAAAGCATGAACGAGAGCGGTTCTTTGGTTTGGAAAAATCGCCTCAAAATCAAACTCTCACTCCTGCCGCCGACTGGTTGGTCTCCAGTGTGGGGCTGCAAAAAAAACAAAAAAATGTGGAAAATGTTCCCTCCGTTCCCCTTGAGGTCCCAATGCCAAATTTGGATGGACTTACTGGCTTGGCTCCTGATGGGGCTCTCCTTTCAACTGCTCTTCATCATGCGAGGTGTCCAGGCTGATGGGTAGAGTCTCAAACGCCTCGCGCAGCTTGTCTGGCGAAGTTGAAGACTGCAATGTCAATGCAAAGGGGGGCGGGGGGACGTTCAGCAAGGCGGCGCTCGGTTGGCCATGGCCTGATATTGTTGCGTCGACTTACTGTGGTCCGATATAAAGTTTTCGAAGGTTCGTCCAAAGGCTTGCGCCCTGCAGGGCGCCCAGGCATCTATGGTTTGCAAAGATAGATACCACCACGTAAGGTTAGGTGCACAATTTGTGCCATCATTTTCACGGGGAAGCAAAGGGGCAGTGGCACGAGGACAAAGCCACTTTGAGATACGTGAGCGCCGCACCATGCTCAATAAGCGGTGCGCTTCACTGGGGCATTTGGCCTTCTCTTCGTCCTCATCCTCCGCTAAATTTTGGAAATATAATGGCGTAATGCAGGACCGTCAACATTGCAGGGACACAGTCCGGTGACAGGTTATCAAGCAGGCAAATCAGTCATGCAAGGTCCAGGGAAGAGGGGATGCGAGATGAGCCGAATGACGTGGCTGGCAACCACATTGCCAAGATGCAAATGAACTGACATATCGTCACCACTGGTTTATTCTTCCCGCGAGCCGGGGCAGTTGAATCCACTTGGCTTGTGTCCGTGACCATATGCGGGTAGCACACGATCATCAAGTACCAATGGGCACTGGCAAGGTCAAGTATATAGGTATGAATGAGCGTGGGCATTTGACAGTGGAAAAGAAAAAGCGGTCATCGGTAGATGGAGAAGAAAACGAAGGCAGATTGGCGGGACAGGTGCAGTGGAACAACATGTTTCAAGCAACTTACAACTCATTGACGGGAACCACGATAAAGTCCTTGTTCAAGAGATCCACCTTCCGCGTCCAACGTTTAACGCTTTCGTAGCCAGAAGTGGTATTTTTACCGCGCTATGTGTCAGCCCCGCGTGAATGTCAGAATGCATCACACACGCATGCGGTATTGTGTTTTTTAAAGCTCAAATGGTCTTCACTACGCTTCGATCGCTGAGCGCGGCGAATGAATACCTTGGTGAGGCGGCCGTAGAAGAACGTATTAAACATGTGGACACGTTGTGCTTGCTCAGCCGTGATGCGAGAGTTCAAATGCTTGAGATAGAAATTAATGATGTTGTCGTTCAGAAACTCTCCTTCGTTGAGCCTGCACAAAGTTTGCAATCCGCATATATTGCAAGGTGAGGAGTGTTGCAGGATGCCAAAGCGCCGCGACTAGCCACTTTATGAGCCAGGGATTTGGCGCAGCACCTTCAGCACCATGTACGAGGACTGACCGATTGAGATCGCCCTGGGTGAAAGTGAAGCTGCCGCCGCCACAAGTGCAGGTCCCCAGGACTTGGGGGTCATCCACGTTGGCTCGCTGGCGTCGCGCCTCGGATCGTGTTCTTAGCGAAGAGCGACGGGGCTCGACAAAGGCATCGACTTTTGCAGCTGCAGGGCTGTGTGAGGCAAATGGGTTAGTGAGTTTTTGACTGTGTATGACTCACGCGGTGGCTCATGGCAGACCTGGTGCTCGAGCTGACTGCATCATCGTCGTCAAGCTCAATGCATTCGGGAGTCTCAGCAGCGGCCTTCAGTCTGGGCAGACGATATACGCGTGTGAACACAGTGAATTATACGTCGCAACAATGTCAAGCCAAAGAGCTTTCGCTGCATGCCTTTGATCAGACTCACTTGAGCAGGGGCTTTCTGGAGCGCCGACGCGAGTCACGTGATGACCGTGCGGGCTCATGTTCGGGGTCTCTGAAATTGGATTGCAGCTTAGCATAAGGCAGGTTGTTGGTAGTTCGGGGGATAAAGTTTGTTTTCTCGAGGGCCGCCTTGAACTCATCGATTCGCTTGCGCTTATCAATGGGCTTCCACTCGACATAGAGCAGGCGCTTCCGTTTCGCTGATGAGTCACAAACCGCATGGCATGATGGGCATGAGCAAACGTTGGCCGCTGTGAACACATGCACGTCATCTGTTTTTCTGTCGCACCAGGACTATTTGTCGCCATGTTCAAAGGCTTCGAGCTGGCGTGCAGCTTGATCAAGACATAAAAGTCGCTGCCATCATCTGCAATCTGAAAATCGGTCACACACGCGCATGTCACAAAAGAGCTGTTGGCAGGGGTGGCATCTAGGAGGCCGGCAGTGCATTTCCTCTTGTACCTGAAACTGGGAGATGTCCTCACAGTGAATCTCCCAGCTTTTGTCGTTGCTACAAGTCAAGACTAGCGACTGCCCTCCACGGATCTGCGCACGGATCTGTGCACACCCATCCGTCCGGCGAGCAGATGTTGAGTGACGCGGAAGTTTATAGGATAGAGCTGAACGATGAGTTAGGGCCTCACCTCGACCTTGCGTAGCGTGAGCTCACAATCCACGGTGCACAATTGCGCAAGGGGTTGCATGTCGCATTCATAGTTGATTTTCGAGGATGTTTGTCGATTGGGGACGGGGCTGACTGGTTTGCGCGGGGATGGGTGGAGCCAGCCTAGCGCCTCGCGCTGATGGTGAGGATTCCTGAGTCGGCCTCTGCTGGCTAAGAAAAGTGCACACCATTTCCAATGATTTACCGTTAGGCTCGTGAACGCTGAAGCGGGGAGGGGTCTGCAATTCATCACGTACTAGTGCCCCTGGCGATGGCGCGGCTGCCTTTTGACGGTGATTGCCTCTGCCGATTGGCATAGATGCGATCTAGATGGGATTGAAATGCATTTTCAAAGTGGGACTATCAAATGACGGTGCACGTAACATCTGGGCGGGCAGTTCTCTGAGCTAGGACAACTGACCTCCAACGTCCGCATTGTCGGGCTGCCGAGGCCAAGGTAAGCAGGTCATCATGGTCAAGGTAAGCCAGCGCGGGGTGATGCAGTGGTGAACACAGTGCAGTCAAGAGATGCGCGAGGTCTATGTGGGAGAGGTAGATGGCGGTTCGCGGATGACTCACCGTCCGGATGATTTTGTCGCCGAGCCTTGGACGCTATCGAGCACAGTCATTTTGGTGAGAGACGAAAAGCCCAATCAAGGGGTTGAACACAAGGTGGGTGTTAAACACACTGACCGAAGACATCTTTGCTGTCGGCTGAGAAAATGGCCGGGGACTCAGCTGGGGCCGAGACAGGGGCCCTCGGCCTGATGGCGCTAAAACTTGTGATTCAACAGTGCTTAACACATGGCCTGAGGTAGCTCGTGAGCCAAGCTACGCAGATGAACACGCGTTGATGAGCATGAGGGTGCGGCGACTAGATCTGCCAGAGCCTGATGTTCTTTTACACTCCCATACCGCCTGATCCAGGCTCCAGCACAGCTCCAGCACAGCCTCAGCACAGCACAGCACAGCACAGCCCCAGCACAGCCTCAGAGCAGTGGAGGTGCAGGTTCAAACAGGACCGAAAAACAGAGTGTTTAAAATACAGAGTGTGACTTAAAATTATGTTCATGCGTGATTTCTTTTTTTTTTGGTTCGTTGGACGCGCCCTCCTCACTTCTCCACAACGGTCCGAGGAGGGATGGGCTGGGGAAGAGGTGGGTAAGCGCCAATAATCATTTTCGATTGGAGGTCAGTTTCTCGACTTTTTATGTGACAGGGGCTACACCGTGTTCTTGATTGTAAAGTGTGAGTTTGGACTCAACCCTTGGTGGCTGCAAACCGCCAGCGCTGCTCGGATTGCTGCGCATCACACGTTGCCAGCTGACGGCACGGGGGAAAAGGCGGATAGGCAAGAGTCTGGATGAGGGGCGGCGAGCGTAGTACTTCCGGACAATGATCCATGAGTTACACCAAGGGCGGCGACCAATGAAAGCCACGAATGGCCCAACCCACACACCTTGACAAAGCCACCTTCCGCCACGCCTTGTCGGGACAGACAGCGCCCATCGCGTTGATTGCGCAGCTGCAAGCGAAGTGCCACGAACAAATGAGGTTGAGAAGATTGTGTGCAGACTGAAAGCAGCGCTGTGAGCCGGCCTGAGTTTGTGGTGTTCCGTGAAGGCGGGCCAAGCACGTACCAAGCCCTCTGCGGTTAGTTCCCACTTCATGTTCGGGGGCGAGTCCCCCTCCTCGGGGCAGGACCGCATGGTCACATCGTCAGCATTGCGCGTGGTGTGTTCGCCGACGCAGGCGTCCTCGTGCGCCAATTCACCATTGTGGGACAGCGTCCACAATTGATTTCCACCCAGGCCATGGCATCGGTACAGAGCCACGGCATGGCCCACACTCTTGCCAGCCGAGTCGAGGCAAAAGCCACCACTTTGCACCTGTCCTTCACCTACGGGGTTGGGGTCGGGTACGCGCAACTCTGGGTATACGTTGTCCAGATACCATTTAAAAGGTTTGCAGTGTAAGTCCTCCCGAAGTTTCTGGCGCTCTGAAATGTCCCCAATGTCAATCTTGCGGGCCGCACTGCCTTTGCGGCTCTTGAAAAACTCGGCATATTCGTCCATCCACACTTCGGCGAGGCGCAGGCTGTTTCGTAGAAAGACGTGGCCCGAGCCACCTCCTGGGAAGGAATACGGGTGATGTTTGCGAAAGACATGTCCCACCCGACTACAGGGCATAATCTCGAGGCGCGCGCCGCACTGCCAGATGCGAAATGACATCTCCAGATTCTCTGCACCCCAAATGTCCATGCCCAAGTCGTAGGTACCAAGCTCGTAGAAGGTGGTGCGCTTCATAGCAAAGAGACCACCCGCCATTGTCGGACTCGCAATGGGGGCCGTCGGGTCACTGGATTGCTGCGAGCGGGGCACTGACTTCCATTTAAAGGTCAGACCCCAATCAAAACCACCGCGCACGACCGGGGAGGCAGAATAGCGAAAGTTGCTGTCACTGATGACGTCAATGATGGGTGTTACCACGTGAAGGGGATCTTCGTTGATGCGTTGCAGCAGTGGCTCGGCCCAGTCACGATTGACTTCAATGTGAGAGTCAAGGAAGCAGAGGACCTGGTGCAAGAGGAGCGGTTCACATGAGGGCAAGGTCAATGCGCAGGCTGCGCGGAACTCAAAAAAAAGAAAAAAAAAAAGAAAAAAAAGAAAACAAGCAGGTTGACGGTGGACGCACCTCGCCGGTGGCGGCATCGGCGCCGGCCGTGCGCGCACGAATGAGGCCTTGGCGGGATGGGAGTCGGATGTACTTGATCTTATCCATGGCTTTGATATCGGCGGGCAGCTCGTCATCAGAAGCATCGTCGACCAGGATGATTTCATGCAAGAGAGAAGGCGGGGTGCGAATGATGACGGAACGGATCGAGCGCAGGAGGGTCGAGCGTGCCTCGTTGTAAAACACAAAGATGACGGACATGTCTGGGAGGGTGGCGAGATCGTAGGTAAGAGCACGGCACTGCTTGTGACGCACGTCCGGTACGTCCCGGTTGCTGGGCAGGGAGTTGGACACCTTCTCGTCAAACGCATTCCGTTTCATGGCATCGGCAGGGCCATCATATGTGGTAATATCCCGAGGCGGGTTGGTGTCCCAACGTTCCCGGCCCGAAAGCATGGGCACCCGTGCGTTTTCTACATGGCGCTGCGCGCGGCGCCGCAGGATCTGATCCTGAACATTTGCCACCGTGGGCTTGACACCATCGCCGGTGCCCAACCCTTCATGCGGGAGGGTGCCACCTTCGTTGCCAGCCGAGTTCCACTGGCGCAGACAAAGAAAGATGACAAGACCCATGACCAGAGCGGCCAGGGTGCGCGGCAACGACCACCGCCGCAAACCCATGGTCGGTGCACTGCCGTCCTCCTTCTCCGCAACAACAACGACGGCCAACGACCACCAAGACCACCGCCAAGCCAACTCTTGGCCACTCTGACCACCACCAAGCAAGCCCGGAGTGCCCCTCCCAGAGGACAACGAACAACTAAAATCAAGATCAGATCCGACCGGAACTGATCTTGATCAGCGACCAGTCCCCGTCTGCGGCAGTGGTGGAATGCCAACACACACTCACACACACACTCACACGCTCAGTTTGTCTGACAAAGGTGATATCCATCCCTGTTTCCGACACAGACCTTTTTTTTTCTTTTTCACCATGTCAAGTCAATTAAAAAGAGGCAATCATCTGAGTACATGTGTGTGGCAGGGGTTTGTGCCCACATGTTCAATGGAGGCCACGTATTGTCAATAGTTTCGCCATTAGACAGAGGCAAAAGGAAAACAAAACGGCAGCCATACAGCGCTGATTATGACTGAGATGCCAAGCGTTTCTTCAGCTCCTGCACATGTGCGTTCGCCAAGCGTGAGTGTGGGTCGTGCAGACAAAATGGCGGGAGAGATGAAACGTCAGAGCAAGTGATCAAGGGTCATTGTAGGAACAGGACAGACCTTGTAGCGGGCAAATTCACGGGCTAACGGGGCTCTGTCGGCCGCCGAGCGTGGTTTGCGTTGATGCGTTTCTTCAAATTCAGTTTGAAACTTGAAGAGAATCTTTTGCAGTTGTTGCTTTTCCTGCAAGAGGGCCGCTTCGTCCTCGGGTGCCGTGTGCTCTTCATGCTGCCCCAACTCCTTGTTCTGGCCCTCACGCCTGGAACCAGACCCAGTGGTCGGGGTTGGTGGGGGGTCTGCGGTATCCTTTGAGGTGCGCCGCTTCCGAGGCTCCAGTGCAGTATTTTCCGCGGACCCCGTCATTGCTGTTGGCTCCACTTTTGTCAATTCTTGAGGGTCAGCGGGGCCTGACGCGCCAGTCAGTGGATGTTCTTCCGAAGCTCTGTCATCTGAGTGCCCCGGCCGAGCGTGCACGGCAGCTTCTGGTGCAGCCTGGGGCATTTCAGACGGCTGCTCTGGAGCTGACTCCGAACGCTTCTGCAGGCTTGATGGCGTGTCATCCGCAGTCGGCTCAGGTTGTTTTGGCGGCACTGCGTCAGTTGACATCGCATCTTTGCCTGCCTTTTGATCGGTTTGGGGTTCAGCTGACGGCCGACTCGAACGGCGTGGCTTTTTTGTGGCACCCTCTGCTGAAGGGGTCGCAGTAGCCACGTATTGTCGTAAAAACTTGTAACGAAGGTACAAGGCTCGTAGTTCTTGCTTGTCTGCCGGCTCGGGCTTTCTGTAGATATGTGGTTTGGAAAAAAAAAATAAATAAATAAAGGCGCTATGAGAAGAGCCGCCGTGCAAGTACCAAAAAAGGGACGTGGCTGACGCACCGTTTATGATGCTCCTTGAACAACTGCTCGAACCGAGCCAGCAATTTCTTGAGCCATGTCTTTTCTTGTGCCACTTGTGCAGCCGTCTTGCTCTAAAAAAAGCAAAAGCAAAGGCAAAAAAAATAAATAAAATCAAAATAAAGAATGCAGGAGCAAATAAGAATACAATCGCAGCAGACGGGTGAGCATTCGTCTGGCTGCAAACAATTTGGGCATCCAATCCAGTACTCTACCTCATCCTTGGCGGGCAAGCCTTGTTGTTGTTGCCATTCGGCATACACGCGCTGGTAGTCTGCCGAAGAGGATTCTAGTGTTAGACTGGTTTCGATCACGACGGGCTTTGACGGCGGTGCCGGTGCGGTGTCATCCTTGGGCGCGTCAGTCGTGGTAGCCTCGGTTGCGCTGTCCACGGGAGCTTGTGGTGCAGCTTCCACGGACGGCTCGGGTGCTGGTGCCTTGGCCTCTGACTGAGAGTGTGGTGCAGCGCTAGCAGCGGCCGCTGTGGCAGATGGCTCCTCAGACTGACTTTGAGAATCTATGCTCAGTCCAATGCAAAACCCCACCAGAACGGTCGCGAGGGTGAGTAGGCGTGAGAAACCGGCACCGTTAATCGCCAATAGAAACTGACCTGCTTTATACCACCGACGTAGAGCCTTGTATTGTCGCATGGTATGCGCAACGGGCTCGCGCTCAGGCCCTTTCGGCTTGCGGCCATGTTGTGCGTAAAAGTCTTTGTCAAAGGCTTGCACAATCTAAAGATGGTCCCAAATCGGCACAACAATTGTGAGCAGAGCATCGGGCCACTCTCGGGCAGGCAGATATGCGATGAGGTCCATGGTAGGGCAATTGAGGGCCTGAAACTAACGTGGCCGAGGCGGCGACTTTCCCGCTTGACGCGAGACAATAATGCCTCCGTTGCCGAATCACGCGGGGGTAAGTTGGCAACGTCCATCTCCACCGAGTCCGTCGAGTCACCAGCAGCAGAGCCTGCCCGAGGTTGAGGACCAACGTCGGATGCCGGTGCGGGAACCACGGGCGCTTCCGATGGAACAGCCGATGGCATGGGTTGAGTCGCTTCGACGGGTAGTTCAGACTTGGGTGGCAATGGTGGCTGATCCTCTGTGGTGTCGGATGTGGTGTGTTGCTCGAGGGCAGGTACGTCGACTAGAGACGGGGCCGGTGCATCCAGCTGTGGGCGCAACTGGGGGAGTGCGCTCTGAATGGTTGTAAAGCCAGACTCAAAGATGAAGCGACTCAGGCTGTTGTGCATGCGCTCCCGCAAGGAGCGACCTGGGGCTGTGGCTGGAGAAGCAGTGAGCAGGCTATGTCGAGCTGCTGGCTGACCCGTCACGCTGTCCGGAGTCAAAGGCACGTCCTCAGGGTCTGACATTGCGCGCTCTAGGGTGAGGATGTTAACTGGGTGTTGCCGTTCATTGATAGAGTTCATGGGCGAAGCACCTGGGGATACTGAAGAAAGCAACATGCCGGGCACGGGCAGATTCGTGCCATCGGCACCACCGCCTTCGTGGTGAAAAGCCGGGCTGCCGCTCACGTAGCGGGCCGAGTCAGGCCGTGAAGAGGCAAAGCTGGAGGCCGAGTCGGGCCGTTCGAGGTGATAAGGAGTCTGAGGTGACCGAAGTGCGTCAACAATGGTGAGGTTGGGTGGTCGCGATTTGCCCGATGCAGGCGTCTTTGGGGAGGGAGCAACGACCGCGACAGCCGGGGATTCCATTTCAGCCTCGGTCTCTGATGTGACTTCCGCGGCCTCGGTGGTTGAAGTGGCGGGGTGGGCATCGGGTCTGGGAGCGGGTCTGCGGGCAGGTTTTGGAGCGGGCTTCGGAGCGGCTCTGGGAGCAGGAATGGGGGCGACCACCTGCGACTCGTCATCCGAGTGATTGTGGTCCGAGTCATCCTCCTCATCGTCCACACCCGTGAGGGCCGCTTGCAGTTCAGCAGCAAGCTCATTAGCGGCTGCAGCTGGCTGCACATTGACTGGCTTGGGGACGGCCGGGGCTCCTGACGGAGACGCACGCGAATGGGATTTTGATTGCAGATGAGCGATGCAGGCTCAAGATGAAGGTAGTTGGTGCGGAAGGATGGGCATACCGGTGCTGCGTGGCATATTCGCATTCTCCTGTGAGAGCTCTTCTGTGAACAGTGGTCAAAGAGGCGGTGATGAGTTGACGTGCGCGCCTCACATTAGTATAAATCAAAGCTAGGGATTAGAGACCCCCCCCCCCCCCACTCCCCCTGCAACATGGCTGAGACCTCCCCTCCCCCCTGCAACATGGCCAACCTGGCTTGCGCGGTCCGAGAATAAATTCAAACATTTCAATGAGAAACTCAATGGGCTGGGCTGATTTCATGGTTCGCTGCAGGCTCTGCGCGGCATTGTCAGTGATGTCGTCGCTATCGAACATGCCGTTGAAAGCACAACATGATCGTTTGGCTGTGAGGGCACGGCTATGGCACGGGGGTAATGCGGCACGGGGGCAGAACGAGACACAAGGGCAACATCTTCTATACCGGATGAGATTAGGGGCAAAGACGGTGGCCAAATTTTTGCATGTCATTCGATTGACATTGCTGAAGAGGGAGACTTGGTAGAGGAAGCTGATAATAAACGTCAGAGTGGCCAGAGGCTGATCATCGAGCTGCAAGAGAATCTATGGGCGGGTTGAGTTGAGCATGTTGCGTGCCACGTGTTCGGGAACCGTGAGGCTGGAGGAAGGGTGATGTGGATGAGGCACGGTGTACTTGGGATACCTGGCGAAACTGTTGACAGGTGGTTTCGGGGCTGCTGTGGTTGATGCCAGCCTCTTGATGCGCTTGTACGAGTAGATCGCGGGTGGCGCTCGGAATAAGGGGTTCGGGCATCTCGCGCTAGGTAAGATGGGCGTTTGCAACAACACACAGCAGGGTGAGGAGGCGCCTCGCAGTAAGGGGTTCAACCTTGAGATGATCAGATTCAGGGATGTGGGAGCGGGATCGTGAAAGGGGCATCGTACCAGAAAGGCTTTGAGGAGGGCCCCTACAACATATTCGGTGGCTTCCTCGTACTCCTCGAAGCGCACATCACCGTTGCTGACCCAGTAAAAAGGTGGTCAGATTTAGGGACGACCCTTGAACGGCCGAAGGGGGCGGGGGGGGTCTTCAAGGTCAAGGACAATTGAGAGCACGCACCGATTAATGAGGCGCTTGAAGGCATCCTCCACATTTTTGGGGGCGCTCTTGCGAAAGATGCCTTCAGACTTGATGCCTGTCAATGTTGGTGTTGTTGTTGTGGTGTGGTGTGGTGTGGTGGCATTGATGGTGGAAGTGCCCACACAAGGGCCAATAGTCAATATGGGCAACGTGAAAAATCAAGAGACGAGAAGATGAGATTTTGGACGAGAGGGCGGGGAGCGAGCGGCTGACCGTTGGTGGAGGTGAGATAATCACGAATGCGAATGAGGAGGATGGGTATGAGGGAGGCGCCCTCAGTGCGGAGATCGGCCAGGGGCTGTCCAAAGACTTGTGCGGCTGAATCTGGAGGTTGATGCACGAGAGAGGGCATTTAGGGAGAGTGAGGGACCAAATGCCACGGACTCGTCCCTTCTTCTTCTGCTGGCGTTGCAAAACAAGGCGTGGGCCCACCGCCCGCCGGGAGCGAGGGGCGATCAGGAGGGCGGGACGAGCAGGCGGGCTGACTTTTGCGTTTGCCAAAGCCCAAAAAGCGGCCTGAGCGCGTGCGTGAGACGGAGAGGACGCTTTTAGTACGACCCGGGCGATGGCGCGCCGTCTCTGTTGGATCTCCGGGTGATTGGGTGGGGTCGGTCTTGACCTGCACCGCACTCTTCGAGGCGCAGATGGGCATCGTGGCCGTGAAAGGGAGACCTCAAAACCCCCGCCTGATCCACCCGATACTTGTGTCCAATCGCACGTATGTTCGTTATCTATGCGCCTGTACGTGGGCATCAAGCCCAGCCGTGGCCCCTCTCACTCGAGTCCCTGGTTGCGCTAGCAGTCCACGCCGGCCATTGGAGCGGCTCCACAGTCCAAACCGCGCGCGCGCGAGAGAGAGAGAGAGAGAGAGAGAGAGAGAGAGAGAGAGAGAGAGAGAGAGAGAGAGAGAGAAAAAAAAAAAAAAAATTGGCCCAGAGCCACGACAGAAGTGACGGGTACTTGTTATTCAAACCCTTGACGACGATTAAAATAGTATTTTACTTATCCAAGGAGGAAGACGTAGTCGTGTACGGACTCGTGCCCACAAACTCAATGCGTACACGCAGGCCCCGGTGACCTGCCTGCTGTCGTGCCCAGCGTTCCTCCACCTTTATTCCAGCGCACTGGCGTCCCCTCTGGCTTCTTGGAGATGCATTTGGTGGAAACCACTGAACACTTTTTTACTGTCAAATCAACATCAAGGATTTCACTTTTCGGTATCTCTCAAGCCATCATGGCCACCACGGACTCTACGACAATGCACGCCCACGGCCTTACGGCTAAGCGTCATGATCACCCATCTCCCCATCAAGATGCCCTGAAGCGACACCCACCACTCAACACCACTCGCAGGCGGTGCAAGCCGTACAGGTTTAAACACAAGTCGGACAATCGATTGGCGCCTCGTCACAACAAGCCAATCACGGTTGAATACCATGCCGCCTACATGCCTATGACCGTTTGGGCTCGGCAGGCATATGGCGTCGTTGACCCCGATGGCGTGTTGGACGCTCGAGATCATGACATGGCCATGGCCTGGAACAGAGCCCAAGCCATGCTGGTGCACGGTACACACATTGACCCTAGTCTCGTTCAAACCGTGCTGCAAGCTGATCCGTGCTTCAACATTGTGAAGGCCCACTTTCATCAGCTATTGCCGGGACAGGGACCTGGCTCCACCGTGCCGGGCGTGGCTCAGGAGGCAGACTGGCTTGACAGAGAACTTGAAATGTGGTATCTGCTGCCTTGCATTCGCTCTGGTCAGAACGCCTGCAACATCTTGATCGGTCATGTCTCGCAATGCCGTCCTTCACAACAACAACTAGAGCGGCTACTGGGCACCATGTACACCTTTCCCACCCGCTATCAGCTCATCATTCATGGCATTCTAACGTCCCTGACCGACGGGGTTCGGCGCACAGCCATTTCAACCACCCGGGCACAGTTTGTGGGTCGGGTGGTCCGGCTCTGCTTCATCTTGTTGCAGGTGTTGCCTCAGGAACATGAGTCCCTCACCATCGAGTTTATGCGCCACATCCGCCCAGCTGTGAATGACATTTTGGCCAACGGCGTCCCTGAACTGAAGTCGAAATGTGTGTTGTGATTGATCTTGTTACGTGCCCGAATTAACCCCAAAACCAAATTACATGCTCTAACACATTCCTCCTTTTATTTGACGTTCAGCATGACGGTCTGGTGGTTGGCTGTTCTGGCTTGCATGGTATGCGGGCCTGTGTCGGCGGTACCGCAACCCCTGTATTACCTGTCCGGCGTACGTGGTTGGGGTTCGGAGAACACTCGCATTCCCGTGTATCACGCCTCCGACTGGTGCACGGCCCCATGCACTAGGTCTATTTGCCGGCGGCGTTGGTGCAAGCGGGCGATCAAGGGTCGTGGTTACAATGGATTTGCCGAGCTAGGCGATCCGAAGGCGATTCGATTGGTGCCAGTGCTCAGGTGTTCTCCACTGACGACTCGGCATCTTGCACGGGTGCCAGTGGCCTGCTGGTCTTTGATGTGTTCAAGCGAATGTCTCAATGTGGCATAGGCGGTACAGACGGCGCCGTTCACCAGTATTTGGATCAGCGCGTCACCAGCGACAAAGGCGGTTCCTTTGCGGCTGCCATGGGTTAGGAGACAATGCCCAAGCAGGTGGACGTGACCAAACACACCACGCGAATAGTTGACTTATAATCACCCCTTCGGGCCGGCATGCCGACAACACAGACCCACATAATCGAAGTAACACCCCTATCATCACGTGTATTATGCTGCTGACTATGATCACCTCGGGACGCCGACGGATGATCTGGAACTTTAGCGCCCGTCAACACTTGAATGGTCGGACTGGCTAACAGGCATCACCCTGACAGACACACCTGGCACTGGCGTCGTATCGGCCATGGCGGTGAAAAGTCAGGATACCAGCGAACCGGTACTGTACATTCAAGCCCCACCTTCCGCTGACTACCAGTACCCTCGCACTTACTCAGACAAGCGAGACCGTTCCCAAGTTTTTGACACTGACGTCCCATACCACGGAAGGCGAAGTGGCTTTGTTTGTGTCGGCCATCACGCATCAGTCCGCTATTGATTGGCCTTTGACATCCGCAGATGCACTGCATTTACAGGCCATGTATGACGGGCTGCAGCCAGCTATCACCCTCTACACGACCGGGCGACCTGCAACGGTTTACAAACGGGCCGATCCAAGTATCGAAGGCACGCAGCAAGTCAAGTTGGGCGTGGGACCGGTCACCACTTATGTGCCAGTCCCGAATGGCTTTGGCGCTGCCAAGCAACTGCGCGTCGCTTATTCTCAAATTAGTTCAAACATCACAGGTGGCGAGTGGTCTGTGTATCACCACACAGTGGATTCAGATGACCTGGCAGTCGTGGCTGGTATGGGCAACTTGAGCCTGACTACGCACTACATGGGTAGTCTGATTGTATTGCAGTCTTCCACACCCACAACCACCACACCACCCGTGCCACTGTCATCGCCAAACATGTTTGTGGACGTGTCGGCGTATGGTTGACTTCTTGACAATTGATTGAGAACGGCCATTCTTTTTATTGGTCCGTCCGCTTCCACAAGATGCCCAACGTACATGATGTCGAGGACATGAAGGCGAGGTATCAACGTGACCGCCGTTTGTTCCCGTTCACGTTGTGCTTCACGGATATGGTCTGGCTTTTGCTGACATTTTGTGAGCAAGCAAGCACGCAAACAAGGCGCAAACAAGGCGCAAACAAGCTGGCACGTTGCTCGGCAACTGGTTGGGGGAGCTGAGATCCATCTGGTCTGTGCTATCTGATTGGCATCTGAAGCACTGGACTGCCGGTCAGGCGCTTGACCCTTGCCTTTTTGACTCTTTTTTTTTTTTTTTTGGACTTCTTCTTCACCTCTCAAATCTTGTCGGCTTGATAATGACATGCTCATTCGTCGGGTTCTCGAGGCAAAGGGGGTAATAGCGGCAAGAAAGACAGTTCTCGTGCAGGGTGCCCTGGTACGGGTTTGTGAACGCTGGTATCCGCCTTCAAGTTGCCAACGTTGACGAGCAATCGGCCTTGATGCCATCAGACACTCAACTGATTTATGTCCGCCCAAATGAGAGTTGTTCAAAAGGGGCTCAAAGGTTCGTCGAGCAATTCGTGCGCAGGGTAGGTGTGGCCGCCAAGCAACGTCAGGAGCTACATCCTGTTGCCGGCTTAGCCCCGGGGATACGAGTGGTCGATATGCGCTGCGCTGGCCCACTCTCCAGAGTCTAGCCTTGACGCCTTTTGGTCCTACTCCCTCCCTGGGGTCCATCGTGACAACTTGGTCCAATTGATCGTGGTCATCTGGGTCCCAAGCCCACCAGGACGGGAGTGGGAGGTGTCACCAAGCTTCAAGAGATCAAGTCCGGGCAACGGAGCGGTGGGATGTCCTGTTGTCCTTTGCAAATTGCTTTTGAGCAGGATCCCGTTGGCCTGGATGGCATGCATGTCTCTTTGGAACGGTTGCTCTCGTGGATGTAAGAAAGGGCCGAGTGGTCACCTCTTGTCCGCGGAAGAATCACCATTCCGAGATGGCGCGGAACAGCGTCGGGGCCACCCCATGTTGGTCACGACGACAAGTCTTGTTGCTGCTATTCGAGGGCAAGCAGAGGACGAGTCCACAGGTGACGTTCAAAGATACGCACGTATGCAGGAGGGCAACATTGGCGCGGGAAGCTGGTTGCAAGGGGTCAGAGGTCGAGCTCCTCGCTGAGCAATCCATCACCGCGGGTTGGGTCAGAGGCAACAAGCTTCATGCCAGCCCGCGTGCCAAGCGTAGCGCGGTCGATCTGGGGTTCGCCCACCGGGCCAACGGCTCCCCACTGCCAAAGTCTTGCCGACCCCCCTTTGATCCTGGCAAGCCACTCCAGCACACCCTGCCTGCTCACTACCATACCATCAATGGGGTGCGCGAGCCCCAGCCAAACGGGAGGAATCTTCATGTCCAACGCGAGTTTGACGTGTGCGCGACAGCTGCGGTCACATCTACTCCACTCGGCGCTTTGAATCTTCTACCTCTTCCTTGGAATGAATGACCCACCACTGGCGGAGGAGAACACACACACACACACACACACACACACACACACACGCACACACACACAAGAAAAACGGCGCTGGCGGTGATGGAGCGGACACAACTCTACCGGCTGCCCCGCGACCCTTGCGGTTGGTTGGCCCTTTGAAACCTTTGAACGATGATGACATTGTATCCTTGTACCACCACCACCGCTTGGGGGCCGTTTGGGGCAGGGGTGAAGCACCTGCACCCCCCGCGCGTAAACCGGGACAACCGTTCGCCTGACATACCAATCACCACACAGACAGACGCACAGAACGCAACGGGCTCCACGGGCTTCACGATCAAGCATACCACCAGCCCCGACCCCTACACAACCCTCTTTGTCCCCCCAGCCACCAGCCGTCGTCGCATGGCCGCAAGCATGCTTGCTCAATTGCCTGCATGCACGGTTGACGTGTTCGCCTCTTCGTTGATGGGGGTGCGGGTCTGGCCAGTGTCGTTCATTTACGTGATCATGTCTCCTCCTACTCACTCCCACCTCACCTCGAGCCAGCCTTGTTGTCTGGTTGATCTTGGTCGTTCGTCGCAGATTGTCATGTGACTGGGAGTATGACTCGGGTGTCCTTGGCGCTTTGCACGGCAACCAGTCAAGTGTCAAGTGTCCCTTTTCCCGTCAACGTTCCTGCGCGTGCACCGCCCAAGCGGTTGCCTTCCTTGCCCTTGTCACAAAGGGTCACCGATTTGCGTCAGACCAGGCAACCGCCGCGCTGCACGGCACCCGCCCCAGCACAGGCGCGTATCATTCCCCTTGCTTGACCCACGCACGACGCCCTCCACCTGTTGGTGTCAACGCATCAAATGTCCTGCTGGCATTCAGATATGCCGAGCCCGTTGTGGACAGTCGACAAAGGGGTCACCGGGTCAACCTCTAGCTCTCCATCACACTGTCCACCAACCAGTCACAAGGGAATCATCCTTCTGCCTGTCATCCCCCACCTGACTCATCACTCCCCTCCGCTCGCCCCCCGCCCCAGTTCCAGTTCCAAGTCGTGCGCTTTGGTTGTTGGCACTGTGAGCCCGTTGTCGTGGAGTCACGCTGGTCGTCAACCTCAGCTGCAGTTTCCCACCCCCGTTGTCGCGAGCGACCGAGTGAAAAGCAGGACACCAGCCCGCTGGTCATTCAAGTCAGCCTTGCACGTCACAGACAAGACCAAGTGCATCCCACCTTGCATTGACGCCTTTCACCAGCTCGCCTTGTCCAACCCTGACCGTTGCCAGCGAGCATCTGCATCCATCAACCATCCCACCGCCTGAGAAATAGCGCCGGCGCCATTCATAAACCAGTTCATTTTCCACAGTCACCTCTCCGGCTCAGACAACCCTTCCCCCCGTCCTCGCTGCCATGGCCGTGATCAACTCCAGTGCTCTCTTCGACGAGCTGCCCGAGCCAGCTCGACAGTGCTTGGAAAAGGTGGCCATGCTTCCGGTATGCAATCAGACAGCACAACCGTTTTGTTTCAATCGATGTTGCCGCACCAGTCAACCATTGATCAGCCAGCCTCTCGCGTTCTGATGCTCACACCTATTCCTCGCCTTGCATTTGCTCTCGCAGAAGGAAGTGCTCATGAACCATCGCGATCAAGTGGTCCGCCAGATGGCGTCGCTGCAAGCCTACGCGCTACACGCCCACAGCACCAGCGCGACACCCTCGTCCAGTGCGCCGTTGGCGCGGATCTTGGGCACCCTGGTCACAGTGCAGCGGCCGTCTCCGTCCCAAAAGACTTGCCTGGACTCCCCTTCCCACCTCATGTCCGCCAAGCGTGGCCACAACGATCAAGAGAATGCCCCACCCACGACCGATGAGGCCGGCAGTTCCACCCCGCCCCTCAAGCGTGTTTGCTTCGAGGACGCTGTGAACAAAGCCGCCCCCCTGCCCCAGTCCACCAGCCTAGCTGCTGACCTCCACAGCGCACTCCGTCGTCTCAATACACGCCACACCGTCCTCAAGGCTGCCTTGGTGCTCAAAGCCGTTGCGCAAGCACAACGCGACGCAGCCCAACAACGCCAATCCCAGGTCGATGTCCTTTGCCAGCGCTTGGACATGTTGCACGCCGAGCGCGAGGATCTCCGCCACATGCTGCTGCAATTCGAGACGCGCTACCACCAGCACAGCACAAGTGCCACATCCTTTCTCGCCATCCCGGCGCAAGAATCCTGGGAGCGAGCTTATCAAGAATATGATCACATCAAAGCACTCCTCGCACAGACAGACCAGCAACTTCACCAGCTCGGTCACCAAACCTCAACTCGACCCACACATGCCTCGCAAGTTCGCCCAGACCTACATGCCACAACCCTGCCCGCCCCAAAGTCCGATCTCTACCAAACCCAAACTAGCGTGCTGGTAAAGCCCATTGCCCGCCGTGCGCCGGCTCCTGTTTGATGCGCACAGACACGCCTCTGAGAACCAGCAAGAAAAAGCTTCCCCTACTAGCAAACTGGACCGTAATAATAATAATAACTATGATGAAGGCTGTAATTCGATCTCGAGGAGGAGCTCTGCGGGTCACGGGCCCTGTATCTTCTCCGTCATTCCCCGACCCCAGCCACCATGCATTCAATTAGTTTTGTGTTTTCCTTTCCCTGGTGCCATGTGGCTGTGAGGTTGCAAACTTTTGTTTTGCGCTGTGCTCAAAACCAGAGTTTGTGCTTCAGCCCCATCTGATATATTATATGATGTAACTGACATGTGAGATGATATCAAGAATTGTAACAACCAGCTCGGCTTGATGTTCTTCGTCCCCTTGCGCTTGTCTCGAGTCAAGTCTTGATACCCTCGATGAACTGCGTCGATTTTCGTGATCGATGAGAGCGCGCTTAAATTCATTCTGACAACCCGGCTGCTTTTTTTTTTGTCCGAGTCCCAAAACCGACGGCGATGCTCATTTCCCTTTGCGGGTCGATTGCTCCAAGAAGAATCAGAAAACAAGACACGAAAAACGGACCGGATACGTGGGGGCTCTGCCTGGCCGGACACACACGCAGTCGTTTAATAAACACGGCTGAGAAGAAACAAACATATTCTTACACAATGTCATTAGAGCTATAAGTCCTGATCCCTGGGTCTGCTCAAGCTTGCTTGAAATACTGCTCCTGAAGCGCCTTCCACACGACTACAGAAAAAGGAGAGAAAGAGTGCCGCATTGCAATGATGAGGCCGGGGCATGAATACAAGCTCGGACAAGGCAGGCGGTCTTGTCAAGCAAACCCCAAGAATTGACGACGACGAACCTGAGAACATCATGCCTTGCAGGCCGTTGGCCAAGATGCGCGTCTGGAGGCCTACATCAATCATTCACCATGAACCGAGAGGCGTGAGCGGTGTCTCGCGCACAGGCTGAGGGTTGTGCACAATCGTACCGCGGAACATGAGACCGGCAATGCCGTCCTTGGCAATGACACCCTTGACTGCTTGCATGTATGTGATGGACTCGGTTGCCGCCTGCTTGGCCACCTAAAACAATCAAGAGGCGCGCCATAATTTTCGTCATTACGAGATGAGTGTCAACTCCACATTGTGCTTGCGCGGGATGATCAACTTCACAAACGATCGCATACCTTGGTGACGCGAATCGAGTTGGAAACGGTATCCGAGACGACTGAGGCACAAAAGCCAATGCCCGCATTGCGGGCAAACTTGCCCCAAACACCTTCTTGTTGCGGAATGGACTCCTGCGCATGGGCATGCGTAGTGAGAAAAAACATTATCAAGGCCAGTATCAACAGACGCACATGCGCATACACATATCGACAGACACAAGACAAGCAGGGTGCGATGGTGGGCGAGAGTCGGCACTGCACCAGGAGGACACACCTGGAGAATGTTGAAAGTTGCAAACCAGGGGTAGTGGCCCGCAAAGGTGGCGGACATGGCAGCCAGGGCACCGTGGTACAGGACACCTGGTCCACCGACCTACGAAAATTCAAAGCAAGCCGACCACAGAGCCGCTCCATGAGTGGGCGAGCATGGTTTGACTAGTTGTGGCAACGCGGCCAAGCGCTGGGCACGTGAGGGGAACAGGGTCGTACGCGAATCTTGGCGCCAAGCTTGGAAAGACCCTGTTTGCCCTCGACTTGCATGATGGTTTTGCAGGTATCGATGGGCATGAGGAAGACGCGCCAGAAGGCAGCAGCACCAGAGGCGGCCACCGTCTTGACGCCCACCGGCAGGGAAGCCGTGACCTCGTATGAGTCCAAGAGGGCCAGAGTACCGGCGTTGGCGGCCGTGTCACCAAAACGGGCGAGAGGGCCCTGGGCCAAGGCGGGCAGCAGGCCTTGATAGAATCTGAACAAATCAAGTGGCATGAGCCAAAGAAAGAGCCCGTGGCGGTGCGGCAAATGGCACTTTAGCCAAGGCTTGGCACAGGGGCACCGCGGCAGTAGCACTCACCGCAGCACGCCGCCTTCAGCATAGAGGGTTCGGACGACGGCACGGAGGCTTCCACCGTTGCGGTACTGTCAAGCGAGATTCGAAAAAGGAAAGGAGGTCAGAGGTTGAAAAAGAAGGGGAAGGGCATCGGGGGTTGGACTTGGTCAGGATCTGGCTTTGAAATGGAGATCGAGATGGAGGGGACAGTTGCCTTACCTGGTAGTTCATGATGGTTCGCAGCCAGAGGAGGGAGACAACCTGGACCCCCATGGCTGCAGCGCCTGCGGCACCACCGCCCATGGCACGCTTGCCTGCCTTGGCCAGTACCTGTGATCAACCGCATGCCCCAGTCATGTGAAAGCAAACGTGAGCAGGAGCGGCACATGTGGTGTGGGCAGCGTGAGAAGGGCCTACCTGGGAGAGCTCAGGCTTATTCTTCTGTTCCTCGATCGAAGCGGCGATGAGGCTGCGCATGCGCAGGGTGGGAGTGGGTTGGGCTGCCATGGCTACTAGTTCCTAGTGTGCTAAGAGCTCTGACGGCCGCCGATGGCGAAAAATGTGCAGGCACGCGTGAGTGGCTCGAGGACACACAAGAAAAAAAAATTGATGGGACCACTGGCAGCCAAGGTGGGCGGACCCGCAAACGTACAACGACAAGCAAGATAAAATGGCAGGCAGTAATCCGAGTTCATGTATCCGCAGACGCCAGACAGCCAAGACGGGTCAACCAGCAGGCAGCAGCAGCCGATGAGCAGGTCAACAGGGGCGAGTAGAGGGGGATCCGCGGCTCTTGCACAGTGGGAAAATGACAACGGTGCGGTCGAGCAAAAAATAAAAAAATAAAAATAAAATGCAAAATGGTGTTAACGTGTCGTCATTCGCAAAACATCCAAAAAAAAAAATCGAAGAAGAAGTAAGAGGCAAAGAGATGAGACAGACAGAACGTGCAAGGCCAGAGGGAGGGGGGATTGGTTCAATACAGATAGTGAGAAACGAAAGCTATTTAAGAGATTTTAACTGAGTGAGAATGATTTTCAGAGAGAGAGAGAGAGAGGGAAGAATGTGTGGGGTGGTGAGTCGTGTGTGTGGGCTCCGGTTGTTGTGGTCGAAAAAAAAAATAACAAGAGCAGCAGCGACATGGCAGCGCGGATGTGTAGGCGGCGGAGGAGGGGGCATTCAGAGGCCAGAAGGACAAGGGTGGTAGAGAGACGGCGCCCTGCGGGCGATTGTCATTCCAGCGTGGCCTCGCGAGTTTGGACTTGCGTCGCGAGCTGATGTACGTGTATGTGTATGTGTATGTGCATGTGTATGTGAATGTGAAGCAGCTGCTTCAAATGACGACAGATGATCCATCCCGCATTCCTCGAGGCAAACGGCAAGGGATCTGTGCGAGGGGTGTCTGTGATCTCGATCCCACCCCAGGTCTCTTCTTTCTTTCTGAACACGCAGACGGCAGAGCATGATATTGATTCATGCACAGCGAAGGACCTCTGCCCTTTTCCTTACTGTTGCAATCCCTCATGGTGCGTCAACTTGTATTGATTGATACGTTGGATATGGTCGTCATGCTAAAGTCGTCGATCTACAGCCGCCCATACCTTGGTCTGGAGCCCAATGCCTCGCCAACTTGTGGTCATCCCCCCCACCCCATGTGGTGGCACTGCCATTCGAAGAACACTGTCCGTCACGAAGGCTTTTGAGTATTGCCCATTTAGCCTGCAGGCACGTGGAGCTTGTTTATTTGTATTCGGTTACGTCCTCTTTTTTGTGGAGCCTTCCACCGTGTCGACGGTTATACTCGTTTTATGGTGTGCGGTCAAGGCTGCGGCTGTGCCTGAATGCTGGTCAGGAGAGCGCGGCGCGCAGAAAGCGAACCAGAAGCAGAAAAGCAGACGAGACGGGGAAGCAGGCAGAGGCGATGGATGACGTTATGCGGGCTGCCGTTTGGGCAGATGATGATCGTATGATGATGCCACCAAACACGGTGTATTCAAAAGCTGGAGGATCGCAAAGGGAGGTGTGGGCATTGCGCAGTATTAGGTAATAGCGGTGGTTGAAGCATAACATTGTGTGCGCTTTCGGTGGCAATCAAAGTGTGATGTTTTGTCAGACTTTTGGAGCAAATGTCGTAATCGAACAGCCTTCTGAAACAGATGTTGTATGCGAATGGACAGCTTGTTTACAACAGATGTTGTGGTTGCTGACAAATGGCTGTTGTCATCCAAATAATCGATGGTTGACAACGGCACACACAGCAGTTCAACAAACTGCAATAACCCTCAAAGTAAATACATAAACTGTACACCTAGTCAGTGCTAAACATAATGACTATCTTCGAAAAGTTTGTAATATGCGTATATAACAGTGTTGTCAGCAAAAGTGTTTCAGGTTTTCTGGACTGCAAGTGTATCTCTGCCTGGGTTTCTGCATTTTAAGCAACCTCTATCAACGTCACACTCACAATTTCCCTCTCTGATTTAAAGCTACTTTTACTAAGCCCTATATTCAAATCTCTCCTCAATCTCTACCGAAACCTTCCCCCAATCCATCCTCTCTGCCTCCACCACCTGCCCAAGCTAGCCCCTCTGAGCGCCGAGCACTTCAAAAGTCGGGGGACGCAGGGAGGCGCGCTCACAAGGCCTGAAATCCTGATTGATGGTGAGGCCGAGATCCCTCGCACGCCATTATTGCCGACCTGTGGCTGTGTGCAAGTGCAGGAGGATGAGGGAGATGTGTCGGGTAGAGACGCCTCCGTGGTGCGCCGCGGATAATGATACGTCTGACCTCTTGTTCGCTGCCAGCCCTCGTGTTTTGCCCCCAGGCTCGGACGTCCCTGATGCTGGTTGCGGCGACGGCATGACGGTTCGCTGTCCACAGCAATCGCCATGAACGACTCGCAAGCTTTGGCCCACCAGGGCAGTCTTTTTGATCAAAAAGGAGGTTGGTTCTTTGGGACCGAGGCGACATGCAAATAAAAGTGACGCTCTGAGCCCTCCCCTTTTCAACGACGTGCTCTGCCCGCTGCTTCATGTCCCATGTAGGTGGCGGTGCAGCCACCAACTTTCGCGTGGCGGTGCGCGTGCGCCCCCTCAATGCCCGTGAAGCAAGCGCGCGCAGCCCAACCTGCGTCCTTCTTGAATCAGAGAAGACACTCACCATCAACAACGTAAATGCAAGCCTCGGCCATGATTCCTGGTCGGGTTTTGCAAGTCTTGGAAATTTCCACTGATTTTTTTTTAATTCTATTGGTGGGGGTTTTTTCGCGTAGCTCAACGCTGGGGAGCGGCCAATCTCGTCATCCACACCAACCGAACACCGCTTCGTCTATGATCGAGTCTTTGGACCCTCTGCATCGCAGTCAGACCTCTACGCTACCGCTGTCCGCCCAATCGTCTCCTCCGTGCTTCAGGGCTACAATGGCTCGGTCATTGCATACGGACAAACTGGCACCGGCAAAACCTTTACGTATGCATTCCTTCAACCCCCGCTTCCCCCCTCTCACGCAATCATGCCCGCGGACAAGACGGAAATGAGTCAACCACAAGCGACTTGAAAAAAAAAAAAAAGATTCAGCCCTCGTATCAAAACTCAGCGTTTGTCCCCGCCCCTGCCACCCTGGTCTACCCTACAACCGCCATAGGATCGAGGGTGCTCTAGAAGGGGAGCAGCGTGGTGTTATCCCTCGTGCTGTTCAGGACATCTTCACTCATATTCAGGTACGAGTCTTGACTCTTCGCTCTCACCGATCACTGCCGACCTCGCGAGCAGGCCAGCAACCGGAACACGAGGCGGGCACGCTGGTTGTCCGTAAACTCATCTACTTGCTGCCCCTTTCTGTATGCAATGCCACGACAAACCCAAGGATGCACACCAAGAAGGCTCGCAGTACTTGGTGCGCGTTTCCTATCTCCAGATTTACAACGAAAAGTGCGTTGGACCTCTTACCCGCCTAACCTTTGCATGGTGCCAAACGGAATCCATGGTGTGCTTGATGGCCAATGTGCGTTTAGAATCTCGGACCTGCTACAGCCCAGCAGTGATGCCAACTTGCGGATCCGCGAGCGCGGCAATGGCGAACCCTATGTTGAGGCACGACCTATTTCACCTCTTTGTCCGTCCGGTGTCCTCTATTCCCCCTGGCTAACCAGTGGGTATATCTGGTGCCTTTTTTACTGCGCAGGGACTGAGTGAGCATGTGGCCCGTCGAGCAGAGGACGTTTACAAGCTTCTTGCTGCTGGCAAGAATCAACGCGTTACCAACAGCACCAGCATGAACCGCGTCTCTTCCCGTAGCCATGCCGTCTTTACCATTGTTGTCGAACATTCCAGCCAGCGCGCGGGCAAAGCCGGAGGCAATGTCGTCACCATTGGCAAGCTGGTATGACTTTTTGACGAGCCACGCGATGAGCTTTCTTCGTGCATGTGGTTCATTGGTGTGCTCCCTCTATACCATCTCATCGTGAGCACTGTCTCCCAGCACCTCGTGGACTTGGCAGGCAGCGAGCGATTCGAGGCCAGCTCCAACGAGAAGCACCAGAAGGAAACTGCCAACATCAACACATCCCTCTCCACCTTTGGCAAGGTGTGCCGTGTCTTTGCTTCCCCAGACCTCTCATCCAGGCATCATCCGGTCGCCGCCTCGAGCATGCATGCTCTCCTCATTGACTGGTTCACGTCTCTCCGATGGCGCGTGTCACAGGTGGTTTTATCTCTGACCTCCAAGCATCACCGCCATGCCCCCTATCGTGATTCAAAGCTGACGCGCATTCTGCAAAACACGTGTGTTTGCTTGCACTCGACCCGCCGCTTGGCCGCTCACGTCGCCCCCTGATTTTCTGTGTTCCTCCTCATTTTCCTCCAATTTACTGCGTCTGCTTTTTTTGGTTCTTGCTTTGGGGTCCTCGGGGCATTCCGATAGCCTGGGCGGAAACTGCATGACCACGATGATCACTACCGTGACCCTGGCCGCCATCAATTATTTGGAGAGCCTGGCCAGTCTCAAATTTGCGAGTCGCGCTCAGCATGTCAAGAACCACGCCATTCTCAATGAGGACAAGGACGAGCAGGCCCTGCTTTCTTCTTACAAGACTGAAATCGAGCGGCTGAAGGCTCAGCTAGCCAAGGTTTGCCCCCCCCCCCCCCTTCTGATTTTTGATCCTGCGCAAAGCAGGCCCGGCGTTCAAATGTCTCACAGCAAGCGTGCTCGTACGCAGCAAAGCGCCCAAATGGCCAATGGCGAGGGTGACCGGCTGGCCCAGTTTTCTCAGCGGGCCAATCACGAAAAGAGTGCCATTGTCTCCGAACTTGTCAAGCAACAAGAAATGGTCCGTGCCCAATCGCCGCCCTTGCCCTTGCACTCGCGTGCTCGCCTCATATGACAACCTCACCGCCGCTGGTACGGCATAGGCGGAGCGCGTGCAACGTGAAAAGGAGGAGCTAGCAGCCAAAATTGCAGAGATGGAGGTTTGATTGAGCCATCGTGTTCATGCGCCGTCTATGCCCCAATACTTGGCTCTTTTGGAGAAGCTAGCCAACTCACCCTGTACCACAATGCTGAATAGGACATGATGCTTCAGGGCGGCCAGCCGATTGAAGAAACTGAGGAGTTTCAACAAGCCATCACGCGCGAGCGCGAGCGCCTTCAACAGGTGAATTTTCCCAACACCTACAGCTCTGGTGTTCATGCCCACGAGGCCTTGTATTGGGTGAGGCGCCTTTCGTTGCATACATGTTCTGACTTGCAACATGTCCTGCAATGCGCGATTTACGATCGCAGGAACACGAGACACAATCTGCTGCCGTGCAGGCTGAGCGCCGGCGACTCGCACAGGAAAAGGCCATGTTCGAGCGCGAGCGCCAAGCGTGGGAGCAGCAAAAAGCGGTTAGGCCCCCTTGAGTCACAAGGCTGCTGTTGACACGGCGTGCCACCAACCTCATCTGAGTCTGCGTTTGCCATTCCAGTTGCTGACTTCGCAGAACTTGTCAGCTCAGCTTAACCTCGCATCATCAGCGGCCGATAGTGGATCTCCTTCGCGGGATGGTTCACCCGCACAAGCACCCCAACTTGCCACCTCCAGCCAGACAGCCCCACCGGTTCGGGCCATCTGTACGTTTCATCGCAATCGGCGAGCCATTGATGCCTCATTACATCTACCTCCCGTACCTGCGGTGTTGGTGTTGGTGCCCGTGCCGTGGCCATCCTTGATCGCTTTCCTCCCAATTCCTCGTCCCCGATGAGCGCTTCACCCTCATTGACATATGCTTCCTTCGAAACGTGAACCTTCTTGTCACGCGTAGCCGCCGGCAAGGTCTTGGCACCCCCAACGGCCCAACCCTCGTTTGCCCAGCGCCCTCCCGCTTCAGCCCAGGCCTGGGCGGCGCCATCCTCCAGCCACACGACGACGAGAAGCATGAGCCCCCGCGCTCCGGCTGGGCCACGGCCGACGAGCTCACGACTGCGACGAACAAGTGCTTCTGATGCTGCCAACTCCCAAGGTAGGCACAACTCCTGCTTGCTTCAGTGCAGACCCCCGGTAAACACCAATAGACTGGTCTGCTCACCGCCATCTCGCAGAATTTCGCCAACCCACCCCACCGAGTGAGCCAGTCAGCCGACGTAGCTCGCGCCGAACTCCCCTTCGCGGGTCTCCCGGCCTTGCCAGCCCAAGTCCCACCCTGGCTCCGTTGGCACGCGATTCTCATTCGGTGGCGGCGCTGGAGCAAGAACACGCCGTGCTTCGGTGCGATTCATACGTTGCTCTGCGCTCTTTTGGACGTGATTGATCAGTCAACCTCTTCTCACTGCGCCACATATTGACTTGCTTAATGAATGTTCAGCAACGTTTGGAGCAGCTCGGAATCTTCGGAATCTGACAGTGATGAGGATGTTGAGGTACTCCGGCCCGGTAATAAGCTGGAAGCCCGTGGCTACGTTGCCGTTACGCGCGACGACTTTGATTCCAGCGACGAGGAAGTGCGTGCCCGAGCGCTTTTCCCTTGAGGTTTGCCATGCACACACGCTCCGTCTCATCTGCGAACCACCCCATCCATGGTCGGATATGCGCAGATCCATGACGCTGATCAACCTCCAGTGGGGCTGGCTACATCTCCCATGGCTACGCCTGAGCGTCATCGCCCGAGCCTCCGAGCCTCCGGCAAGCCGCAGGGACCGGCTGGTGTTGTCCGACCAAATCAAGGAGCACCCGCGCCTCAATTTGACCGCCACCAACAAGCAGCTCTAAGTCAGGCCCAACAGCTGTATCACAACCGCCGCCTGCGCGCTACAGGCACACAGCCAACCCCTGCCGGCCCATCCCCACGGTGCGCGGCTCCGCAGCTACGACTGCCCTATATCTTCCCTTTGCTTGTTGGCTCATTTTCTTCCACTCGCATCGATTTGTCGCAGTCTCAACCCCGAGCCCCAGGGGGTGGTGTCCCGCGGCCCCGTGACCTCTACCGAGTCGAATGATGGTCAGTTTTACTCACCTATCGCTGTTTTCCATGCATGCCTTGCTGCTCTGTTCCGTGTTCTCATGTGTGGCTTCTTTGGCTCAGTGGATAGTTCGACTCGGGATGCGTTGGACAACTATGCCCGACAGCTCATGGACCCGACGACCGGAATTGCCACCAGCACAAAGCGCATCCGACTTCAAGCTTACCGCAATGTTTTCACTGGCGCCGACGCCGCGGGTTGGTTCATGGCCAACATGGAAGGCGTAGCCACGCTTAAAGAAGCGCAAGAGGTGGGGCAGCAACTCATCGACGTGGGCATCATCAAGGTTGTGCGCTCAGGCTCCGATGCCCCTGGATTTGTGGTCTCGGACACGGCTCTCTTCGCCTTTCGCGCGCGAGCAGGAACCATGGACGGCATAGCCGACTCGGCGGCCTCCCGACCGGGCAGCGCCCGACCTGCATCTGCACGCAGTACACGCGTCGGCCGCTCTCGAGTCGGCTCAGCGGCCAGTGTCCGCTCCAACCTGAGTGTTCTTTCCCTTGAAAGCACGATGGGGCATCGCTTTGACGATGAAGCTGCCAACTTTGCGTCATCGCCGCCCCTCCATGCCGCTGCCGCTCAGGGTGATCTGGTCGCCATCAAACAGCTTCTGCCCCTTCACTTTGTGGATGAACTCGACTTGGCCGGCCGCACCCCCTTGATGTATGCTGTTCTCACAAACAAGCCCCGCGTGCTCCGCACCATTCTTTTGGCCGGGGCTGACTTGAACCAACAGGATGACAAGGGCAACACGGCGCTGATCTGGGCCACGTGTCGCGGTGCGCGCGAGGCTGTTAAAATTCTGCTGAAAGAAGGGGCTGATGTCGAGCTGACTGACCAGGAGCAGCGCTCGGCGCTGCATTGGGCTTGCAAAATTAAGCGTGTGGACATGCTAGCCACTCTTCTCCCCTATGCCTTCAAGGCTATATTGGACTTGCAGGACCAGGAGGGCTTGTCGGCTTTGCACTGGGCTGTCCTTTGCCAACGAGAGGAACATCTCATTCTGCTGCTGGAGCGCGGCGCCGACCCTCGTCTTGGCGACCGGCACGGTCGAACGGCTCTCCATTACAGCATCACTCAACGGGCGCAGGCTTGCTTCACACGACTCCTTAGCGAGTGTCCAGAAGTCCTCAACTTGGCCGATGCTCAGGGTCGCACGCCGCTCCACGTCGCCGTGGCTGAGGCTCCACTGACCTTCATCGCCGCCCTCTTGTCTCAACAACCACTGCAACTGAATCCTGCGGACGATCGAGGCACCACCCCTCTCCATTGGGCCTGTGTTAGCAACCGCACAGAGGCCTGCCAGGTATGTGAGCGTGGTATCTGTAACTCACGGCAGGAGGAACAAACACGACGCTCATTGAGGGTTGTGCCCCCCCCCAGGCTTTACTGGCAGCCGGGGCTGATGCGAACATTTGTGATCATGCTGGCAAGACACCCTTGCAGTATGCAATTGAAAAGGTTGGTATTTAGATCTCGCATGTGTCTCACATGTGTGTCCCAGCGGTACTCACGTGCTTCCCCGTGGCGATCATGTCATAGAGCAATGCTGCCTGTGTGGCATTGTTGCAACAGCACGCTCAAGCCACACGAAGATAGCAATGCGCCCTGCATGGCTCCTCTGTCTGAGAACGACGTTCTTTGGTGTTATTTATTGACATGTTTACATGCTAAGTGCTAACTAACTATGACCAGCAATTGAAATCATCTGCCAAATCATTGAAAGCACAATTAAATTTTGCCGCGACAGCGACTTGAGCCCAGACCTGGGCTACGTGAGTTGTCGATAGCTCACATGTTATAAAACGTCAGCACGCAGAGGCCCGTGGGCAAACGCGAGAGGAAAATGGCGGTGGGTATCGAGCCGGAACAGTCTTTTACAGAAAGCGCTTGAAAGTATCCACAATCTCATCAAAGGTGGGGCGATGGTCCGGATCATCATACCAGCAGGTTTGCATCAGCTCGGCGGCCCACTGCGCAAAGTGTCGCAAAAAAACCAAACAGCGGATGTAGGTGTGAGACGGCGTGCCAAAAATTCAAGGCAATGCAGCAGGAGCAGCCACTAGCAGGAGACGCACCGTAGGCAAGGAGGCTGTCGGCTCGAGGCGCTTGTTGCTTTCCAAAAACTCGAGGACCTGTAGCGTCGGCCCAAGTGGTAGCATCGTCAGCAAGCATAGGGCCACCACAGTCAGGCCAGTCTGAAAGTTGGCGTACCTCACGGCCCTTCATGCCGCTGTACGGTTTGGCACCGTGGTGATCACCCTCCCACAGCGTGACGCCAAAAGACCAAACGTCGCTCTGTGCATGCAACCAAAAATATCCGCAAACATGGCAGAGAGCATACAAGCGTCAGGCAAGAGGGAAAGAAAAGGCAGTGTGTTTAGTATCACATGATGAGACGGCCGCTGATCTCGAGGCAGGATACCATACCTTCGAGGTAAACCGTGAGTGGTACAGGCTTTCCGGAGCATACCACTAGACTCGAGAAGACAGCAGTTTGCAGGTAAGCATGGCCAAGGACCGAAAACGCAGACCAAAAAGGCATGGTAAACAAACTTTGATTGGCCAGCGACCTCGATTTGAGGCACGATAATATTCTGATTCAAAACCCAAGCCTCGGCTCAAACCAAAATCACTGGCATGGTTGGGGAAAAGAAAGCGACAAGAGAACGAAGATGAGATCAAAGTGCACGTGACAGGTCCAAAAGGAATAGATGTGCCGCTGTGCACACGAACCTGATCTTGCAGTTGAGTTCGCCAAAAACCATGACTGAAAATGACAACACACAATTTCACCACGGATGAAGATGGATCATTTGTGAGAAGCAGCTCTTGCCTGCCATCGAGTTGGATCGCTGAAGCAAAGACGTACCGTTGCGCGCCGCCAAATCACGGTGGACGTAGCCTTGTCCGGCCATGTATTGCATGCCACGAGCCACCTGAAGATGCGACAGGGCCGGTGAGTGCTTGTCAACATCGACGCGTCGTTTTGACGGGAAGCAGCGACACATGACACATACGCAGAACATCAAACGGAGAATCTCTGAAATGGACTTGTGTGGATTGGCACGCAAGTAGCGGTCCAAAGCGCCGGCCGGTGCCAACTCAGTCACCAGCATCAACTGCTCTCCCGTGGTGACGCCAAATAGGCGAACGAGGCACTCGTGTTGCAGACGATGCATGTTGTTGGCTTCGCGCATGAAGCCTTCAATGTCGGCATCCTCCTGCACCATGAGCTTGCGGACCGCCACCTGCAGCGCGTCGCTGCCACGCTGCCACACGCCCTATTCACATTTGCCATCCAAGACGAGGAAGGCGGCATCAAGGTCTGGATCCGAGGTACCGAAACCGCCAAACGCGGCGACAACCAATTGAGGACCAGAGATGAAGCAAGAAAAAGCGTGGACAAACCCGAAACACGGGGCCGAAGGTGCCTCGACTGATCATCTCGCCGACTTGAATTGTTGAGCTAGCCAGATGCAACGGACTCTTGGTCACGTGATCGGACGCACGGCGGCTCAACTGCGGCCCATCAGGCTTTTTCTGCACAACAATGATAATGAGCCTTGGCGGGTGCGACAAGATCAAGACCAAATCTCGCACGGGACCGCGTGCAACGCGTGGCTCTTGAAGATGATACGTACGGGATCAAAGTCAACTTGCTCGAACGCGCCTTGGGCCTGTCGCACGCGCGAATAAATGTCAAATGCTACAGCAGATGCAAAAGGGCAAAAGGGTGGGCATGTGAGATGTAGAGCGCATTGGAAACGAGAGCAAGAAACATGGTTGCACGGCCAGGCGTACGGTTGGCGGCCACTGCCTGGCTCTTGGTGGCGCCTTGAGTTTGCATGACCAGCTCACGAAAGGCTGGACGGCGATCGGCATCGTATTGCCAGCACTGTCAAAAATGTCCACGCCAAAAATGTGAGACGTGCTGATGCGCACACAGCACACAGCGCCCGATACAGTGCTGATGAGTAGACCAACCTGTTGCAAGATGTTCCAAAGTGCGTCATTGCAATCAGCGGGGCGTTCCAGCCGCTGTCCGCTGTTCAGCAATTCAACCACCTAGGAGCGAGGGTAGATCGGGTGAGCAGTTGGCCTTTTGCTACAGCGAGCTGAAAGACAAGTACGTGCCTGACTGCCCTTGAGCTTGGGCCATGGCTTCTTGCCACGCATGAGCGTTTCCCAGCATGTGACGCCATAGCTCCATACATCGCTCTGTCATCATCGTTCGAAAATACGCGGCTCGATGTGAGAGAATTCTTAAACATCAAAGGTGGACGAATCCTATGCGTTTGGGTTGTTGGCCGTGGACATCTGAGTAGGCAGGCGAAGCTCACCTTTTCGTGAAAGCGGTTGTTGTAGATTGACTCGGGGGCATACCACTTGATGGGCCACATGCCGCGCTCACTGGCAGTGTAGTAGTCAGAATTTCCCAACACACGTGAGAGGCCAAAGTCGTTGATCTTCACTTGGTGCACCGAGGCCACCAGCACGTTGCGTGCAGCCAAGTCGCTGTGTTATTTCGCACACATCACAATGTGAGATTTGTGAATCGCCGAAGCGAGAACATGAAATATCAACAACACGATATGACGGGAATAAAACGCCCTCACCGATGCACAAGGCCTTTGGAGGCCAAATGCTCCATGCCCTTGGCAATCTAATCATGAAAATTTATTGCCAAGCATATGAGACAAGACAGTGCGGCGACACCGGGCCCAGCCGCGCGTTGCGCGATTCTACACCACGACAAGGCATCGTTATGTCGTTTGCCCGTACCTGAACAATGTAGGAATGCAGAATGTCGATGCCCGTGCGCGCGGGATCCGAGCGGTTGGCCTTCAGATAATTGTGCAAATCGCCGTATGCTACCAGCTATGTCGATTCGACGACAGAAGCGAAAGATTGAGATGATACGTGAAGTGTGATGGCATGGGAGGGGCGCCTGAGCGCGTGTAATCTAACTTCCAACTGACCTCCATTACTAAAGTCAGGGGGGCTTCGCGGGCCACGCCGAGCAGGCGGACAATGTTGGGATGGTCCTAACCACCAAGGCCAACATGGTGATGTGAGAAGAGAGCTGGTCCTTGAGGCGTGCAAGGGTCACTCGGGTGACCTCAGCGCACGATACGATGGGCTTACCAAGTGAACCATCACGCTGGCTTCCAGCATAAACTCGTCGGGGCTGGCTTGGTCCTGAATCGAGTTTGCAATCATGTTTGTAATTATGGGCTGAAATGAGCCGCCGGCTCGGCGGCAACGCAAAACAACGGTGCCGTCTGCCAGCTCAAACTCACCTTGAGGACCTTGAGTGCCACGTCATAACTTTGACCACTTCGCGTGAACTTGCCCTTGAACACCTCGCCGAATTGGCCCTCACCCAGCTTCTGCAATCGGGCAATGGCATCGTGGCTCACCTGCACGTGGTCAAGACCGCATGACATGAGTGCTAGCAATCAGTCTGCGACATGGTTTTACCAGCTTGGACGCTGATAGAGTCAAGCCAAAGCCTCAACCCACCGTGACCCGCGCCAGTTCATCCTGTGTGGGCTGTGGGCGCTCGAGTACATAATTCTAGGGGGGGGGACGGCAGCCGGTGAGCAGGAAATAAGGAACACGACAATAAAAGAGAGCATAGTGAAGGCAAAGTCAGCATTGCGCCGTCCTTTGCCTCACCTGTGCATCCAAAAGGGCGCGCGCTGGGGCCACTTCGGTACCAAAGCCGAATTCGGTCTCCTCGGGAGGCTAGACAGCATTTCGGGCCAAACGATGAGCTAGCGTGCAGGTGCATATGGCGGGGCACCATTGAGCGGTACAGCTGAAAGCCTACCATGTTTCGCGCTGCTTTGATGTTGTACCGCAGCTTGACAAGCAGACCATCGGTTTCATTGTGGTAGTGCTCCATGAGCTAAGGCCAGCAAAATCCTTGGTAAGCAGCAGCCTTCGTGCATATGATTTGAGTCCATATCTTATTCAGAAAGGGCAGGTTTACATGCGTGAAGCCGAGCCCGGGCTCAAACCTCATCAATGGTCACATAGCGCATGCCATCATTGATGCCGTATTTGATGCCCGTGGAGGAAGACGGGTACTGGGTGATTTTGAGATGCTGGGGCCCCGCGCGCTTGCCAGCAATGTCTGTTTGCAGAGGAAATGAAGGTCAGGAAGCAGGCGTTGCACTGTTGCCGTTGGGATCACATCCACGCGCTTACAGGTGAGACGAAAGAAAGATGCGTCCCGAGGTCCGGTCAGCGCACGCTTGGACACCAGGTAGGCACCTGGTACGCTGGCATAGGAAAGCAGCTCCATCTGAAATGACACGACACATATGTAAAAGAGCGTGGGTCAAAACGAAAACAACGCGGACTTGTGTTGCCATTGTACTTTCGTAGGCTTGAGGTTGTGAGGGATGAATTTAGAATTGAGCAAGTAACCAGGGTCGCACCTGCGCAGCAGAACGGTCCAGCTCATGCGGGAAAGGATCTCCAAATGGGGTATTAATGCCATCGATCTGACATGAGCAGTGAGCCAGGGCAGTGAGTCAGGGCAATGAGCAGAGCAAAAAAAATAAGAGGTGGTAGCAGAACAAAAGGAGGCAAAAAGGAGCAGGGCTGGTTCGACTCTGGAGAGTTTGTGTTGAAACATGCACTTCGTACGTTGAGGATGCGACGACCGGCGTGAATTTCCGCGTAAGTGTTGATCAAGGACACAATAGTCTCGGCCCGAGCGTAGGAGTCAGCCTCTGCCAGGAGAAGAGTGCTGTGAGTCAGAGCAGCTGTTGGCCAACAACATGAGATGACGAGAAGTGTAGTGGGGCAGCGCACCGAAAGTATGTGTCGTGCCGTTGATCTCGGTCAGTGTGAGCTCAGTTGAGAGCTTCATGTCCAGCGCATTCATTTGATGGTAGGGTATGAGCTGCATCAAGGGAGTGCACGGATCAGCGAGGATTGTTAGTTGATTGCCTGGAGGCGTGCGCTATGTTGGGTCGAGACGAGCTTGCGGTAGTCTACCGTGGGCTGGTCCATGACATCGACAAGCTCGACGCCATCAGGGTTTATGTTGACGCGGCCTTGGTCACCATCGATTCTAATGGCAAGGTCAAGTGTGAGCAGTGGGCGGTGGGACGATGCAGCGGAGAGCGCTGTGCGCCATGTGTGTGTGTGTGTGTGTGTGTGTGTGTGGAAAGGAGGGGCGGGGTGAGCCGCAAGCGACATTATGAAGAGACGCACTGCACAGTGTATTGCTCACTACCAAACATGGCATATTCTTGAACGATTCGCAAGTACTCGGTAATGACAATGCCCTCGCTGCATATGGCAAGGCGAGCAATGAGCGTGAGTGTGAGTTTGGACGGTGCGCGGCTGGGCGCGGCTTCACGCAAGTTTGGCCGCAAGGGCGGGCGCAGGGTAATGGGCGACTGACCGGCGGGGCCAAAGCTTTTTGCTGCGGATGCGATTTTCAATCTCAATGGCGAGTTGTTCGGTTGAATATTCGTCAATGACTGTTTGCATCATAAAGGCTTCGTAACCACCGCAGTTGTCTCTGCGAAGCCACAAGCATGGTGAGGTAAGGGGCGGGCGCAAATTTTGGGCGGATGACTTGACATGATTAATTGACTGCAAGGAGCGCAAACGCACTTGATGTGCTGAAGCGCTTCTTCCATCGGGGTTTGGGAGCAGCGCTTCTTCATGTTGTGAAACTCTTCAATGAGGAAGGAGATCATGTTGAGAATGCAAAGATTGAGCTTGAGGAAGGGGGTGGCAGAGATATCCTCGGACATGAATTGATTGTGCAGCTAAGGGCGTGAGAATGGGATAAGGCGGTCAAAGATGGGTGCCAAAGGAAAAGTCAAGCATAAGAGCGCAAGGCAGTTCCCATCTGCGCGCGTGCAAGCTCCGAGTATCGAGGCAGTCACGATCTGACCTGCTTTTGCAGAAAGGTGGCGGCGGCTGGATCTTCAGTGAAAAACTCGAGAAGATTCCGAGGCTTGAGCCGGATCTGAAAGCATTGGTTAGATTGCTTAGTTGTCTTTCATGCACACACACACACACGCGCACACACACACAGAGGCGTCTCCGGGGCCAAAGCGTCGCAAGTCGACGTACGCGAAAGTAAAGGTTGGTTTCAGTGCCAGCTGTCAAGGCTTCCGGGCTGATGGGCTTGTTGGGCTCCAACCAATTGGTGTCGGCATTTCTCCCGCGTTGCTTGTAAAGGGAGCACAAGCTGTGAAGTGACCCGAGCAGACCATACGGTGAAGAATAGCGGGCGGCGAAAAGCCACAGAGAAGCTGTATGTTGGAGAATGCAATGGGACAGACCGAAAGCTTGAAGGACGGAAGCGTAGCTCTTGGCAGATGCGTTCGACAATCTCCTACTCGAAGGGAAGAGCCAGCATGTACAGGTGAGCAGGAGCGTTGAGCAGCGCGTGCGTTGTGGTACGAGTGACAGCTTCATGCTGCACTCGCGATTTCACACCAAACGCTGAAAGAGCTGACCAGGGCGGTGCGCGGATAGCGCTGGTGGCCAGCTTCATTCTTGAACTCGCAGGGCCGCACGTTGCCATCGGGCAAGCGAACGTGCATGACCATGGGCCTATCAAAGGGGGCGGATCATGATGTGAGCGGCGCCATTGATCCTTCAACCTAATCCGAATCATGCTCCCTCGTGACAAGATCTGGCCCACCCCACAGACACAAAGTTATCAATCAGTGCTGCCGTTTGAAGCGAACGCATACCGATCTCCAGTGACGGCTGCCATGACTGGACGCGCGGGGGTCGAAACGGTTCACTTTGCCGTTTGCCGTCTGCCGTGTGTGTGTGAGTGCCGTCAGTCCAGTCACTTCGATGGATTTTTTTTTTTTACCAAGTGGCATTCACTTGAAAGTAAAATACTTACGTGGTTCATGCGAAATTTTTTATTTTTTTTTTGCCATCTGGATCCATGCGTTGGCTGCAGTAGTACAGTTGGATGAACAGTTGGAAGGTGGGCTGGCGCCTGGACCGACACACTGCCAGACCAAGCAAAGACGATTTGTTGTTGTGACATCGCGGTTTTGCTCTGTGTGGTTGGTGATGGCGCTCGACAGTGTAATTGGTGAGTTGTGTATTGTGTAGATCAGGCCTGTTGGCCGGCTGTAGCAAACACTCGATGGAGTGAGGTGACAAGGTTAGAAGCTGCGGCTGCTCAAGCAACTACATGTATAGTGTGTTGAATGAGGTGCGCGACTGCGTGGCACAATTTGGTAGGCTGCCTCTCGAAGTGAAGACGCATGCTCTCACTCATGCCGTCGGCCTTTGATGCATCGCGTGGTGCGATCATGGCAACCATCGCATCTCATCGAGCTCCGATCAGAGAGGGACATGCCCTCGGCCCAGACAGAGAGCGGCAGCTTCTGATGCCCTGATCGGACGGGGGATCTACAAACTAAAGCGACTACAATGTGTGAATTGTTTTTGCAATGAGCTTTTCAAATCGCAGAATCGCACAGAATAGATGGGCGTCACTCAATCCTTTAAGGTCCTATAGGGTGCTAGGGTGCTATGGGTGCAGCGAGCAGAGAGCAGGCAGCCTTTAAAAGCCGATGAACAGATGGGCATGCCAAAGCCCAAGCTGCTGGAAAATCAGAGCCGAGCGTGGGGTGGCGGCCAATATATTATGTTACATCCAATTGGGCCATGGATGTGTTTGTGCGCTGTTCGTTTCATAAGGTCAGAAGATTGCGCGTGTGCCCAAGGTGTGTCTTCGGGGAGATGGCTCAAACTCAGCAGAGACAGTTTCTCTCCCTCTCTCAAACCCTCTAAAAAATTTCCTCTCTCTCTCTCTCTCTGGTCTCTCTCTCTCTCTCTCTCAAACTAAAACTCCCAAACTCAATCTCTAAACTCTCAAACTCTCTGTCTCAAACTCTCTCAAACTCTCTCTCTCCAATGCAATTCTCTCTTCGATACCCGTTGACTCACCATCTTGTCCTCATCCTCAACAAACCTATCGCTTCGAATACAATACGTGCATATGCTTCACATGTCAAAATCTTTTCACATTATTCGCACACAAAAGCGTTGTGCGCGCGTGCTTCTGTGTGACTGACTGTTGGACAGACAGTCGATGGTGCGTGCGTGTGTGTGTGTGTGTGTGTGTGTGTGTGTGTGTGTGTGCGTGTGTGTGTGTGTGTGTGTGTGTGTGTGTGTGTGTGTGTGTGTGTGTGTGTGTGTGTGTGTGTGACGGCAAGCGGCGGCTCGCACGACATGTGGATCGCTTCATTTTTTCCAATATATTCGATTCATCAAAGCGAAGCGAAGGTTCGTGTACCACTTGCTGGTGGCCGGCAGGGTTGTGGGCCCGGTGGTCGTGTCCTCTCTGCTTTGAAAGCCGTTCACCATCCATTTTGCATTTATCAATCTGATCGCACACAACCACACAAAACGTTCTTGGCGTTCCGGTCAGACGCCGCAGTCCGATCTCTGCGCTGTCCTCTCCCACGCGCTTTTGATCAAAACACCGACATGGGTTTGTGCGAGTCCCGCGCTGCCAAGGACTTTGATGACCTGCCCGTCGAGCTAGATGGCTGGTACAACAGTCACGAGAGCATCCGCTACGCCGAGCGCAACATCCTGAAGGTAGGCATTGTCTTGATCTCAACCCAGCGCACAGCCCTGCCTTGGGTACCAATGACACTATCGAGGTTGTGGCGCAAGCCAAGGGCGGTGGCCTGGATAAGGTTCTATTCCTGGGATTCCACATCATTGGCAATCGGGATCATGACTCTTGATGCCGTAATTTCGTATCATCTCATGATTCCTGCACCGATCTTAGGCCCTTGATGTCATTCGTCGCGAGGCAGATTCCGGCCAGCTCGAAACGTGGAAGATTGACAACTTTGTCACTTTCTGGCACCAATTTGAAGACCAGGTTTGCTAAAACCGCGTCCTTGCTCCTGTTCCCCGCGCTTCCGACGGCCTGAACAGAGCCTTGCTTTCGATCCCCAACCAGGTGCACACACATCACGATCATGAAGAGAACCTGTTTTTCCCTTGGATCGAGACACGTGCCAAGCTCCCGCCCAAGATGAGTAGCGATCACGCCACTCTACTGGAACTCATGGCCACGGTATGAAATGAATCATCATTAAAGAATTTTTACATCGATGTAAATTTTTTTCGTTTCCTTCCTGCCATGCCATGCGAATCACCAAAGCCATCGTTTTTGACTCTGACGGATTGATTTGCATTTCCGTGCGTAATTGCACTTGGAATGGGGGGGTGAAACAGACCACCAAGGCGATCTCCCAGTTGCAAGAAGCCAGTTCCAGCGAGCGAGCGCAAGCAGCTGCGCAGTGCATCCAGAACATGCAAGCCCTACAGCTTCATATGGATGAGCACCTCAAGGAAGAGGAAGATCAAGGCATTCCAATTGTTCGAGATAACTTTACGTGGGCCGAATATCAGGTTTGTCTGTCTTGTTCAAGCCCGTAGGACTTGTGCATTTAACACTTTTGGCGCACACCATCGCAAAGCTCACGACTGGAGGCCAAAACTGCCCTTCTTCAACCAGGCTGTCGAGAACAAAGTGGTCAAAGAAGCGCAGTGGTTTGAGCTGCCCCAACTATTGATGGTCAGTCTTCTCTGACCTCTCCTCACCGTAGATTTGCGCTCTCTGTAACCGCTCCGCACGAGATTCGACGTACCTGATAAAATCACCCGGCCGCTTTTTCCTTTCTTTTTTTTACGGGCCGACAGTACATGGAAAATGACAAAAAATACGAATGGATGACCACGCATGGCATTCCATCCTTTGTGCAATACCTCATCATTCGCCCGCGCATTGCGCGCTTCGAGACGGAGTGCCTGGCGCCCTTCCGCGCCATCTACGACACTGCGTGAAATCTTCACCGCCATTGTCTTCATCTCCGCCACGCCCTTGTGCCTTGAGTTTACATAAAGTGTCCAATACATGTAGCCACGAGCTTCGTACTATTATCAATTGACGGGGATGAGAGACTGAAACGATTCGCTCAGCCACTGGGGAGGCCAACAGCTTCGACGCTTTGACGCCCTGGAGCCTTGGACACACGACGGTGTGCAGAACTCAGAGCTTGGCGAGACGATACAGTTGCGTCTCATGGGAAGCACAGGTGACCTGCAAGGATGTAGAAAAGGTGCCGATATCCGTGTGTTGCCACACGTCACGAACTTGAACCTGCCGCCGATCAGCACCAGTGGAGGTCGTTGAGAACGAACACACAGATACCTCCCCGAGCACGCGTGCACCGGCAGCTCAAGTCAATGCTCACCTGAGTTCCTGTGGACAAGAGTTTTGTGAGATCAATATCAAATGTTGACGTTGTCGCACCAGTGTTAAAGGCCGCCACGGCAAGATCGCCTAGTTATTCCGAAAAAGAGCAGAGCACGTCGAATTGAATTTTGAATACGCGCTGGAAAGGCAAATGATGGGAAAGCTGGCGTATGGTTTGCTGGGAATTTAGCGTTCTTGTTCCCCTAGGCAACATGAGTTTGCATAATAAACGCACCATTGGCCAGCGGCCGCGCCCACACTTGGCACGTTCCGTTGACGGTGTCACACGATGGCGCGTCCACCATGCCTATGACACGTGTGCATGCATGACTAGATGGAAGTACTTTTGCTCAAGATTGGGCGGCAGGCTGCATTGGAGGCTCACTAACCGCCGGCATGACCCAGAGCATCTTGCTGGATGGCAATGACCTCGGTATTCAAAAGAATATCACGCATGGTCGTGGTCATGTTGCGCACGTCAGTGCTGACCAGGAGGGGTGCAGCAGCCATTGACCATAGGGAAAACTCGGTGCTATTGGCAATCGAAGAGCAGCGTGATGCTAAATCGTTACCGCGGTCGCTACAATCAGCGGTCTACCCTTGAAGACTGGCTGCCTCGGGGACTGGCTGCCTCGGTTGTGTCTTGTATTGGCGCGACATGCAATGCACCAGGGCAAACCCACCGATATTCGACGTCAGTCTGACCAGGGCAGCGGCGACCGGGCGTGGGGTCATCACAGCCTGCGCCACCAGTCTGATTTTTTTCAAGATGACATTGCCACGAAAACGGGTACGGTCATGATGAGGATCTCAGTTTTGGGGGAGGGCGGTGCGCGAGGGGCAACTGGCTCTGCTTCGCTCTGCTTTCCGTGGTGTGCAAATCCCGACACGGCTGATACCATCAAAAAATCGGGGTCATTCCAACGGTAGTGGCCTGCGTTGTTTGCCACGTCTTTGAGCTGATCAAGCACCTTGGCCGTGCTCTCCCAGTTGTCATGGTGATCGCCTGCCATACGCCAACTGCAAAGTTGCCGGGTCAAACGTTGGTCCCTTTGCACAAAGACCTTCAGCGGGGCTGCTAGGCAATGAGACAAACCTGTTGCCTGCGACAGGACACCCTGTACCACATTCAGTTGGCGCGTGGTGTTGATAAATGAGCAAGGCGGAGAGCAATTTTATGGACAAGTTTGAAACCCGGTTGGAGCCTGTACGCACAATCAGCAAAGGTGCCATTGCAATGAAAGTTGAGCCAAATGGGGCGACCGGTTTTGTTCAGCGCATCCGCCATTTGCAAGGCCAGCTCGCCGTTGTTGGGCAAATCAGTGCACCAGTCCAGCTAATGACATTAGCAATAGCAACAACCGCATGTCAAAACGATGAATCTTAGATTGGTTCGAGCCAGCAAGCATCAATGGACATGAGCCAAGAGGCGACTCGAGAGCGTGCATGCTGCTCACTTTGACATAATCCACGCCCCAGTCGGCGTAGGTTTGCGCGTCCTGTCGGATAAAAGAAAAGCCAAGGGTGTCAAATGGCAGCAAAGGTCACTAACTGCCCCAGGTGTCAAGGCGCGAGATGCCGGCCAGTCGCAACAAGATCATTTCACAGTGAGAGCAAAAAGCAACGTGCATGGGCAGCATACCTGCTCGTAGTGGAAGAGAGAACCGGGGACGCCTCCAGCAAATGGATCGCCAGGAATAGAACGGTTGCCTGTACTGCAGGTCATCAAGCCTGAAATTGACCATGATGAGAAAGGGTCTCGAATCTGCGAGGTCACCAAACGGGTGCAACTATCGCGGGGCAGCGCCTGAAGCGAGAATATTTGGCAGGGCGCACCGGCAGCCGTGTACATGCCAAACTTGAAGCCCTTGCTGTGGAGCCAGTCTGCTAGAGGTTTAAGACTTCCATCTGGCCCACGTTTGATCCGAAAACAAGATCGGGAGTCAGAATGGACCGGCCTATCGCCAACTAAAATCAGGGAGCGTCGTTTTGAGAGGGACATACTAGTAAAGCGATTGGGGTCAGCTGCCATGCTACCGTCAGGTTGGCGCGTCACATTCTCCCAACAGCTAGGAGCGAGATTGATTTTCGGATTTCAAGGAAGAGGCGTGCGAAATCGGCAGATCAAATGAGCACGTGCACGTGCGAACCGCTTCTCTGGGGCAGTGGCCTTCAAAACAACAATCAAAACGCTAGGAGCACTCACTCATCCAAGTTGATGTAGTTATAGCCAGCGGCCTGCATGCCATTGTCAATCATCTCCTGTCACGTGTCAAAGGCCGCTTACTTAGATGGCGTTATTGCTCGTGGACTGCCTAGGGGTGAAGCCAGCTTGGCAGGAGCGTGCTCACCTGGGCGATTTCGCGCACGAGCTGCTCGTTGCAGACGTCATGATACTCGTGACTCAACCCCTGAGGCTGGTAACAAGAAGACCAGGTGCACCAGGTATTCCACCCCATCGGAGGCAGATATCCAAGCCCATTATCTCGGGCCTCGATACCCATCAGCCCGCCGTACCCGGCCGCCAAAACAACGTACAGTCCAAGATGGCGCAACATGTTGAGCCCAAAAAAAAAAAAGAATTGTCAGAAAATAAATCTTGTGGAGCGCTGTTGGACTTTTTTTTTTTTTTTTTTTTGGCTTCAGCTGAGTCTATTGGTCCTTGTGGCTCTTCGGTCTCGAACCACTTTGGGCACGCAAGGGCAGCGACCTGACAAGTGTGTGGAAGCACGCCTGTGTGGAAGGGGATTGTTAATCTGTGGTATTATCATCTGCGTCGTCGTCGTCGTCATCGCCTTGATCGGCGCTCCCGTCATGGACTTCAACAAAGTCTTGTCCAAACTGCTCGGGCTTCCACATGCCGATGCGACGCAAGGCGTTACGCTTGCGATCACCGCCGGACATGCCGTTGGCATGCACCATGATGGGTGGGTTTGCTTGCATTTCTGCAAAGTGCTTTTTAAAGTAGTAGCGGCCGTGCGGAAACTTGCTGCTGGGCAGCTCATAGAACTGGATGCCCGTGACATCCCTACACACGACGCAGTGCAGTGAGGGCTATGTGAATGCTGCGATGGGGGACCAGGATCGGCTTTCTTGAGACGCACGGATGCTTGAGGGCCTTGTTGAAAGATGCCTGGTTGCGGCCGTCGCCTTGCGCCACCAGCTGGTCCCAGACCTCGAGAAAGCGCGTGATGACCTGCCTCACTCCCAGCACCACCATGACGAGCCAACGGAGTGTGAGCGCACGAGACGGCTTTGGCTGCAGCAAAGGCGGAGTCGCGACGAGGACAAACCGAGGTGTTGGCGTAGTAGACAAAGCCAGCGCAGAGCAAGTTGGCATCTAGCAAGAGCCCCAACCAGAAGGAAAGCCATGAGCTGCCAGCAACAAAGATTTAATGAGCCACGATCCTCATGGTGAACGAAAAGCCAGGGGTTGAAACGGACGGTCGTTGGAAGCAAGGAGGTCATAGGACTGCTTCAAGTTGGCATCCATCCAGGCATAGGGATTTTCAAAAAATGCAATGTCGGCGTCAACAAAAAGCATGTGTACGCCAGTGTCGTGCATGCGTGTGAGATATTTCGGACGAGCACGCATAAGTAAAAGGTAGAGAGTGCTGCCGTAACTTTGGCCACGTTTATCGCCCTCAAGCTTTTCGCGTGCGTTGTGCATGCCAAAGGTCAAGAGATCTTCAGTGGCCAGCAGGACCTGGCCCGGAAGTTTCTCCTCCATCTGGAAATAGCTGGAAACGTCCTCCGCAATCACGACGGCGTGTCGAGTGGTGCCCACGGTGGCCTGGATGGAGGCCAGGAGGTTGTACATAAAGTCGCTAAAGCCGCTAGAAATGGCAGCGAGGATGATGCGGTTCTGATCGTCCCTGGCCTGATGAGCCACTGCTGTGACATCGGAGGATTGCTCCATGACGCGGATGTTTGCCGTCGTCAGCCGAAGATAGCTGGCACCCAGCAGGTCGCAGGCACTTGGATGCATTGGCTCAGCGTCATCCAAGAGTGTGCATTGCCATTTTTTGCTCTCCGGATCAGCGAGCCCAAAGAAGAAGCCTGGTGGGTTTTGCCCAGTCCCGAGACCAGCCATATCAGCACGTGAGCCATGCGCATCAAACGCTGTAACAAGGTCTGTCATATGGTAGTAATATGATTGTGATTTTGCGTCAAGGTGGCATATGGCAGACGGCCGCACCTCGGCACGCTTCGAGCTTCTCACACGCCTGGGCGCATTGGTGTGGCGTTAGACCATGAACCGTACTCAGCACTTGAGCTGGGTTATTGAGGCTGCTAAAGCAGCGCCTGTCTTGGGAATCATGGGCGTTGATAAACCGAGCGTGATAGCCCGGAATCTGAGCTTCAAAGGCATCATGGTTAAGCAAATGCACGGGTGCTGCTCGCACTAGACAAAGGGCGCAGCAGGTAGCAAGCACCATGCAGAAAGCATGCGCCCAGCTCCGTCTGAGTAGCGCTGGCCCGCACACCCCCATGGCTCGGCCTGCTGGAGCTCACACTTCTCGTTGCTCACCACCACCTCCCGAATAGAGTGATGCAAACCTGTCAAAAAACTAAACAGAGCGAGATGCGCCAATAAGACAAACACCACTCACACCCAAGCTCAACGGCCTCGCCCTTGCAGACACTCCCGAGCCGTCGGCCCGATTCATTCAAACCTGCCCTCGTCCACCCCAGGCGAAACTGCCAACGCAGTTGCAGTGCATGCATGCCAAAATTATCAGTCGCGCGCAAGTTTATTTATCTGACATATTTATCTGACATTGGTTCATTTTTATCTGACAATAAGGCATGTTGCAGCAATGGAACGCTTGGGGTAAGGCTGGCATGTGTGATGTTTGACACACTTGTGTTGTCCCCCCTCCCAACGCCACCACGTAAGAGCAAGAGAGAGAGAGAGATTGTCTGCTGAAGCAGAGATACGGTTGGATGGGTGCAGAAAGGGGTTAGGCGTTTCACAGGGAATTTCAGAGAATCTTGGGCGCATCCACCAACCAGAGAGTTGTGTTGGGACTGGCCTTGACAACGCCGACATAATGCGAAACGCCATCGCGCGACGCTGCTGAACGAGAGCGTGTGTGTGTGTGTGGTGACCCGAGGTCCCCCTGATCTGCGCTGAGGGCTTGAGGTATTTCCGTCTGCTCGTCTGCCCATCGACCCGTCGCTCATTCATTGACCGGTTCTGGTTTTGCACGCGACGCGCTCACTTTCACCAAGTACGCGGGATCCCCCCTACTGCTGCTCTTGTTGCGCTGTTCAACGTCGCGAAGAGGCCGTTGCCGTTCGTCTCGACTCTGTACGTTTCGGGTCCGATGCCCTGTCACTCCGAGCTGAGCGAGCGTGATTGTTCCCTCGACTTGGAGGAGCAGTTGCTCTTTTTGTTGTTGTTGTTGTTGGTTTTAGCTTTGAGCTCGATGAATCGAACCTGGATCATGCTCATAGCAACCTTTTCGGACTGGCATCCTTCCTGTTCCGTTAGACAGCAACCTCGCACCATGAGCGGGACTGATATGGACATTGACGCCGTGCGCCTGGGCGTGGTGCGCGAATCAATGAAGCACAATCCGCTACTCAAAAAGGTTTGGCCATGCCTGACCCCTCTGTCTTTTCTCAGGCCTATGTAGCGGCCAGCCGCGTACATTCATGCCAAACCACTTGAAATTCCAGGCACCATTGGGCTCGCATCGTAGCAGCGATGTTGACGAAAGCAAGATTTATGGTGTCAAATCCAAAAAGGTTCGAAAAGCCTCTAGCGTAGAGGTAGCCTGCCCTCTGAACAATCCTGTTGTAGGTTGCAAGGTCAGCATGGCACCTAACGTTATGCACGACTGCAATAGAATGATGGCGGTACTGCCGCAGCCATGCGTGAGTTTGAGCAAGGATTTAGTGTTTCCATCGAACGTCAGGCTGCCGAGCGGCGCAATCTTTTGCTTCAAAAGGTATGCTTTATGCTTTTCGATTGCCGCCTCGCGCGACGGCTTGCTGCCCCATCGATCTCACGTTGGTTTGTGTTCTCAACTCATGTTCATTGTCGCCTGCGCTCAGTCCGATGTTGGACGTGCCAAGGCCCCCGTGTCGGGCGAGAAAATTCTGGGTATCGTTCATGGCAAGACGCAAAAGAAAGACTCCAGCGCCGCCGAGATCATGGCAGGCTGGGCAGAGACCGCAGAGTCACCTTCCTCCACCAAGCGCGCGGGCAAGGCCGACGTTGGGCGGGCTCGTGTTCCGATTTCTTCTAGTCCAGACGTCGACAAGCGCGTGCACGGCGCCCCTTCAAAGAAGCGCGTACGTTCTGCACTCCTCGAGTTTGATCCCGCTTGCCACGCATGACAGATCCTGCAGACAGTGTTTGCTCTCTCCTCACCCAAGCTTGGCCATGCACCCTACAGAGCGAAGATGGAGGCAGCCTCCTCAAGTGGAACATGTCCAACTCTGCCACTACTTCGCAAGCCTCGAGCCGCAATCCTCTTTTGCAACGCGCCGAGCTTGGTCGCCCTCGTCCGCCACAAGAAAAAGACATTTTGAACCGTGTGCACGGCAAGCCCAGCGAGGATCCCAAGAAGCGCGGTGGTGTTTCTGCTGCCTTTTCGGGTTGGGACGATCAATCTTCTGGCTCTCCCTCTCGCCGATCAGTGCAACTGGTACGAGCAAATCCCCTCGCTTTCCCTTACACCTTCTTCTCTGGCCCTCAACACGCCCACGCACACACACACACACACACACACACACACACACACACACACACACACACACACACACACAAGCTCGTGTGTATCGTGAGCAATTTATTGCCGCCTTATCCCCGCCCGGTTCTCACATTGCCATCTTGCCATCTTGCAGGGAGCTGTGGGCCAACCCCGCCCACCCATTGCCCAGGGTGTAGATTCAATTGTGCATGGCCGCCGCACCTTTGCAAAAGAAGGTGGTGCCCGTGACGCTCTCTCAAACTACAAGCCCAGCACGCCTGTATCACATCGCCGCCCTGCACATGATGTTCCCAAGGACATGTGCTTTGGCAAGCCCTCCCCGGCTCCGGAGCCCGTGGCCTCACTCCTTACCAGCACCTATGCTGACCAGTGGGTCCGGGACCAGCTGAACAAGCAACAAAAGGCGCACTAAACTCTTGTTTTTTTTTTCATGTGCTGTGTATGGTATTGTAACCAGCGTTCACTTCTGAAGCAAACCCAATGCACACGATACAACTTTGTATCATGACACCCTCGCCCCCCCTTACCCCCCCCAAAAAAAAGGTTTCTTATCAACCATGTTCATCAGCTTTCTGCATTTTTACGTGTTACTTGTTGCCGTACTTGCCCCCTTCTGTTTGGCCTTACTCTTTGTAATGTTGTTTGAAAATGGCCTCGGAGCGATGCCATGGCTAGCCGACATGCCCTGTCTCTTCAGGTTGTTGGAATGTTTGAACTTTTTCACTGCGTTGTCCAGCCGTGATTTCCTGACTGATCAGTAGAATTGAAGCTTACCAACCTCACGCCTACTCCGTGCTTGCCTTGAGAAGGATCATTATGATGCGAATGCCATCACGGGCGTGTCTGAGATCAGCAGAGAGACAAGCTTAGTTTTTTTTTGTTTCATTTTTTTTTTTTTTTTTCCTTTGAATAAATTTGCATTTTATTGCCAATTTCTGATCTTCTCAACGTTTGAGGAGGTTCAGCGCAAGGTCTCAGACAGGTGCGAACAAGCTCGCGCTGCATGGGCACATACCTCCTATGTCTCACATGAACAGAAAGTGTCTATGCGCACAAGGTGCAACAAACATGGGGTGCGTGGACAAAAAGTGGCAGTGACGTCTCACAAAATGACCGTTAGGGATGATTTGGGCCCAAATTTGACAAGACAATTTGTAGAATTCATCCAAGAGACTACAAACTAGTCTGAACATCAATTGGCAAGACGCCATACACGCAAATAACTCTCTCTAAGCATCAATAATGGCGTGCTGCTCAAGCGCCGCTCGGCGCTGGAGTTCCAAAAAGCTGCCACGGCTGGCACCTCCGGGTGCAGATCCCCCAAGGCCGTCCCGCGACTTGATGGACAGCTTTTGATACTCCAAGGAGAAGGAAGCCCAGGCCGAGGCCACAAGTTCGAGCTCCGTCTCATAGCGCTGCTTAACCCGCTCCAGTTCTCGTTGCTCTGACGTCAATTGCTGACGCGTCTCCTTGAGCTGCTGTTGCAGAATATCAATGGCTTCATTACCACCACTCTCGCTACCCAGCGTGGTGAGCTTGTTGGCCAAAGCTGTGTAATCTTGGCGTGCTTGCTGCAATTGTTCTGCGAGAGTTTACCCCAATGCCCATCAGTTCTTGCACTTGGCTCCAACAAGGGTGGCAGCTGCGCGCTATCTGACCTTGCAAACGAGTAACATCCGCAGAGTTACCAGCACTTGCACCGCCGCCACCTTGCATGGCCACTTGGCGAAGCTGGAGTAAAAATGCAAGGGTGAGAGGAAGGGAGACAGAGTTTGCACGATAAACCCAAACGTGAACATCATTTCTTCAAGACGGATCAGGTGTGCGATGAATGAAGCCCACACCTCTTCTTCCTTGGCCAACAGCTTGTGCGACAAATCCTTTTGCATGGCTGCCAAGCTACGGACAGACACAGCGCGAGCGTACAGCAGGTCAGATGCACCACCGCACACCACGACTGCACAGGTGGCGGCAAAGTGTCACTGGCGCTTACTCGGTGGTCAACTTGTCCTTGTCCTCGTAAAGCTTGTTCACCTTGTCCATCTGCGTCTGCAGGCTGGTTTGTAGCCGCGAGCGCTCTGCTTCAAGTTCGGTACATCTGCCATGCAGACACAGCAAAGGCAGGCAATGACCGTCAGCGGCTGTCGTGTTCACGTCAAGCAATCGGCGTTGGCAACCATTTTGTTGCAAAATGCATGTATGCCGGCTCACTTGGTCTGCATCTCTTCGAGTTGCTTCTGCACTTCGTCAAACTGCATGGAGGTTGAAACATGTGTGAGTGATCTGATCATGGAACATCTTGCCAAGCACGTAAAAGTGAAGGCCACGCACCTTTGCAAGTTTGTCTGCCACGTCTTGCTCCGCAGCAGCACGTGCCTGTTCGATCAAATCTCGTTGATCCTTGCCAACCAGGCTAAATGTCAGGCCACGCGCCGTGAGCTTAAATTGAAGGGCTGCCGCTGCAGGGACATGCGTGCACACGGGCGCAAGTAACATGGCTCATTCACGTACGAGTGGGTCTTCTGTAGGTCAATCAGCTGTTGTTGAGCCTTTGAGAGTTCATCGCGGAGCTTGGTTTCCATGGCGACCTTCTCTTCCAGACTGGCTTTGGTGGTGCGAAGATCACGCTCAGCAACAGCCAGCTGCTCAAACACTAGCTCATCCGTTGATTTGATACCACCATCTGCACCGGCAGCGCGCAACTCGACAATTTGCAAGTTCAGTTTGCGGTTTTCAGCCTCAAGCTCCGTCTTGCGTTGCTGGGCCTTGTCAAGTAGTGACTGCATTTCTTGAACCTGCCCCCCCCACCCCCGCCTTGGCATGAGTGCATTGTCGTGGCGACCATGGGTATCACGATAGCGTCTGGCTCGATGAGACATACCTGTTCATCTGGCGAGCCAACTTGAGCTCGCAGGGTTTCGACCTCGTGCTCCAGGCGCATGACCTTCTCCATATCAGCGAGGCCACTATCACAAAAGCGCGAGCACAATTGCGTCACAGAAAAGGCGCAGCACCGTGGTGAGATTGAGCAAGAGGGTGACTGGCTTTGAGTTTGTTTTGAAGCATACCCGCTGGAAAGACCCATGCCACCACCCCCGGCCTGAACTTCATCCACTTGGGTTTGCAATACGGCCTTTTCCCGCAACAGGCTCTGCAAAGATTCATGGTCAAAGTGCGCCATAGCAACTAAAGCATCTAGAGATGGCGCGGCAGGGAACCTGGGGGAGCGGGGCGATGCATGGCATGGCATATCGGCCAACCTGTTTCTCTTGCTGCACGGTTTTGAATTGCTCGGTGAGCTTGCGATGGGCAAAATCCAGCGAATCAGCACGCTTCTGCTCCTCGAGCAGCTGAGCCTCAGCCGTATCCAGTTCAGAGCGAACGCGGGCCAACTGCTCGGCTAGATTATCGCTGCGCTTGGCCGAAGACTCAAGCTGAATTTCCTTCTTCAGCTTTTCCTCCAGCTGGGCGTCTTTGCTAGACAAGGCTTGTTGAAGCTCGGAAATGCGAGTCTGCATGTGATCGACCCGATCGCGGAGGACCGTATTCTCATCGCGCGACAGACGGAGGTCAACGACCTCATCGCGGAGGGCCGCAGCCTCGGCAGCCTCGTCCATGGAGCGTTGCATCTGGCGACGCATCTCGGCCAAGGCACGATCAGCATCACGCTTCACTTGCTCACGATCGCGCTTTTCGTCATCCAGGTCGGCCTCCAGCTCCTTGCACAACTGCTCCAAATCGTCGATCCGGGTTTGCAAACGCTGCACTTCACCGTCTAAAAGCGCACGGGCGACCAAAGTCAGGGAGTGCATTGAACTATAGGCTCAGTGACATTTTGCCACAGCAAAATGCCTGCCAAAGCCAGGAAAACCCATCCGGCTTTCCTCAACAGGCACGTACCGGCAGGCGCGGCCGCATCTGAAGCAGAGTTGGCCTCGTTCAGGCGCTGACGCAAGCTTTTGTTCTCTTCCTCCAGCATGTGATGGTCGTCCACCATTGCATCGTGCTCCATCTGGAGATTCTGCAGTCTGCACGGGTCAGGCAAGCATAGATGCGACAGTGGCCCGAGGAGAAGCCGTGGGTCAGCAGATGAACAGCCAGTGTGTGTGTAGATGGGCCAAGACGTTTTCGCTACAAAATTGCAGGGTGGACCCACTTGTGACGAAGTTCAGCTACATCGTCATCGGGTGCAGTGACTCGACGAGCGGCAGCCGGTGAATCAGGCATTCTGCGTTGGCATGACACGGGGAAGGGATGATGTTGGGTCAGGGCAGGCAGGCGATTTACAAAAGAGAGAGAGAGAGAGAGAGAGAGAGAGAGAGAGAGAGAGAGAGAGAGAGAGAGAGAGAGAGAGAGAGAGAGAGAGAGAGACGAGTAAAGGGTCTGCGTACGCTGCTGCTTGCTGGGACATGGTGATGATTTTCTGCATGGAGGGCATCAGAACAGCAGCGCTGGGTAGGCTTTCAATACGGCTCATGTAGAGGGTGGCCTTTTCACACTGCACTTGCAAGTGACCCCGGCAACGCTCGAATGAGTACACCGAGCTATCGGCATGTGTTGGGGCACGGGGTCGGGGTGAATTGCTTTTCGGACCTGAATGGCACAGCCGAGAAGCAGCTCTAGCACATTGAGCAGCTGGCGACGATCGCCAGCCTCAACCTAAAGCCAATGTGCCGCCGATTGATGAGACCAGGCTCAAGCATGGGCCACGGCCAGCGCTGCCGCAGATACGCCTTAATGGTGGCTGGGCATCAGTACCTTATCTTCCATGACCATGGGCAGTCCTTCTTGAGGACACTGCAAATCTGTTTCGTAAAATGCGTAGAGGCTTCGGACGACCTTTTGCAAATTCATGATCTAACGCAAAAAAAGACCGGAGCAGAGGGTGAGGACCGGAACCAGATTGTCTCAATCATTCTTCCCAAAGGTGCCGCGGCAGCCCAGGTGGCAGAGTGTCTGTTGTTTTTTTGAAGTATGGCGATCAAAATTGCAGACGAACCCGAACTTTGCTGCTGTCTGAATCGCGATGAATGCGTCCAAGCATGCTATCTGTAAAGTGCTGCGGCACCCTGGGAGCGAGTCGGGAGAAGCAAGTGTGGAGCGAACAAGGAGAAAGAAAAGATGGTGATTGAAGGCAAAGGGGCGGGACAGCATGCACAGGCAAGCAGGCCAGGATTCTCCATCACAAGGGATGAAGAATATGTGTAGAAAGTATCTGTCAGGCAAGGGTCAGCCAGGCGAGGCGAGGATCTTACATGTCGTGGAGGACTTGAGCAAAAGCAACGCCATCGCAAAGGGCTTCGGGACCAGCCACGGTGGTGTTCTCAAACGAGTTGAGCTGGCAAGTAAACAACGCGCAAGAGAGGGCACGCCAACAAAGGGCGGGGAGGAGGCAAGGATTGAGTGTAAGATGCCGACTGCCTCACTCCCACGGCTTGAATCGCCACGCACGCACACCACGCCGCAACTGGAGGGCCACACGGTCATCGGAGACCACAACCAAATGTGCAATAACGCTTCCTTGCGTACCCATTCAATAAACACGGCCAAGACGGCCTCATCGGGCTGATCAGCCATGATACTCGCACGCACTCTTGCAGAGAAGACCTCCTCCTCCTGCTCCTCCTGCTCCGGCTGCTGCTGCTGCTGCTGCTGCTGCTGTGACGGACGTGACAGTCACCTTTTCACAAAAATGAAAAATCTGATGAAAAAAAAGAGAAAAAAATAAAAAATAGAGAGAGCGTGAGCGTGAGCGACAGCACGAGAGAGAGTATAGAGCGCAAAATGTCAGATACAATATATGCGAAGGCAGTGAACGTTTGGTTGAAAGGTTTGATAAATTGTCTGACATTGATGCAGTAATTCGCTGCGCATCACTGCAATTCACATCAGCGCCCCGGTGCGCGCGCGCGGTGACGGTGACGGTGACGGTGACGGCAGCGGCACTGCAGCTAATAGCGTGCGTGAAACTGTTGGTGATGCATTCCAAGGAAAGGGTTGAAGGATCGTGGCGATACGGGTATGGATGTTCATACTGGTAATGTTGATGCTTGCGTGGCGTGACAGGTCGCTGGCTTGTTTCGCGGTGATTCCCGTGGAGCGGCTGGCGCTCGGTTTCGCTGATTCCCGTGGAGTGGCTGGCGCTCGGTTTCGCGCAGTAGCACAGCTGACGCGCCTGTGAGGCACGTTGCCATGATGCGGTTTGGCCTGGGTTGGGTGCGGGCCGTATGGCGCCGGCCCATGGGTCTACGATCCTATGCTACAAAGTCGTTTGGACAGCAGCCGCAGCAGCAAGCGCGCTACCCGTTTCGCCCGCTGGCACAGGACAATCGGCCACCCCTCAGTATGAAGCCTCTCAAGCCATTTCCATACAACGTGCTGGCTGGTACAAGTACGACGCCTCATGCCTCTCCCCCTCCGCTGAATGTGGACAATCTTTTCTCGATTCACGGCCTTTGCTCCAGCTCACCGGATCGCATGCTCCAAATATCGCTGTGGCTCTTGTAGAAAAGGTTGCGCGGCTGTTGCCACACAAAGGCTCAGGTCGTCGCGTCACCGACTATTTTCCATTCTCCGTCATGCGCACAAAGTCTTTTCAATTTGCGCGCCGGCCTTTATTTCTGAAGCCCATCTTCATGATTCCTGTCACCACCATCTGCCTCTACCTTCTTAGTCGCCTCGAGCGCATCGAACTCACCGGTATGGTTGAAGCACTGGTCGGCCAGAAAAATACCAGAGAAGCAAATCGTATCCTTTCAAAAAGCTTCAATTAGGCCAGAACTGGCGAGAGCTTCCTCTTCCTTGTTGATGACTGCGCCCGGCGATCCTCTCACACCTCCAATGGACCTGCAGGTCGCTGGCGCATCAAGCTCATTCCAGACAGTATATTTTATCTCTTTGTGGCGCCCGAGGCAGATGAGGTTGGTACTGTCGTCATGTGTGTGTGTGTGTGTGTGTGTGTGTGTGTGTGTGTGTGTGTGTGTGTGTGTGTGTGTGTGTGTGTGTGTGTGTGTGTGTGTGTGTGTAGAGGGTCCAGCTTTTCAAGGCGTCGTGGTCACTCATTTGTTGCTCTGTACTTCTACAACAGATCTTGATGAGCGAAATTGAGGAGCAATTGCTTCCAGAGGCAGATCGCCGGACGCGCTTTGTGAAGGTACGGGCGCCATGCGTTTGGCAACTCTCAAGGTCTCGCGAGCGCCCGCGTTTGTTTCAAATTGATGGTTGTTGTTGTCGGGTTGAGCACAGCGACTGGTAGAGCGGATCGTCGAAAGCAACGGCCTCCCAGCTGAGTTGGTGGAGAACACCTATGTCATGGTCGCGGACGAGCCCAATGCATTCTGCACCCCTGGTCAGTCAGAAACTGAAAGCTGCTCATCTTGTCTCTTGTATTGATCCGATACGGTGCGCTGCCCCAGGGTTATCACAACCTTGCTTTTTGCGTTGCTTCTTTTCTTGTTTAGCCGGTACCATCGTGGTCCACACTGGCTTGCTGGATCTTTTGCGTAACCGCGATGAGGTGAGGCCCCTGGCATGTGCTGGCGCATGTTCTTTTCGAGCGCACTCAGCTGGGCACACGATGTCCGCTCTAGGTTATGATGGTGCTATCACACGAAGTTTCGCACTTTCTTTGCCAGCACGGGTCGGAACAGTCTGGGTTTACTGTACTCGCCGTTTTGGGTGCCACCGTCTTGGGCATCAACAACAGAATTGCCAGGTAAAGGCGCTGGGCCATTTGCTTGAGGCTTTCCACGTGGGAAGCGCGGTGGAGGTGAATCTGGGCAAGCTGGTCTATTTCTGCTTGCTTATGCGAAATAACGCAATGCCAGGCTCTTCTGGGATCTTTTTTTTGACTTGCCGCATTCACGACGTTGCGAGATTGAGGTTTGTCAAAGAGACGTGCACGGACGTGGTTATTTGGCATGATCATGTGGAGGTTTAATTAGCGCTGCATACTATGTGTGTTGACTGGGCTCGTGAACAGGCTGATTATTTGGGCTTAAAATTGGCCGCCAAGGCGTGTGTCGACTTGTCACATGCACGTGGTATGTTTCTTGCACTCTCAACAAGCATCCCTGCTCGACGCAACGTTGGCAGGGGATGTAGTCGTGGTCGTGTGTGTGTGCCAGTTCTCGTTCAGGTCGGAGGCATCTCATACCTTGGTCCGCCCCCCCTCTTTTTTTTCTTATTGGATATCTCGTGCTACAGCGGTTTGGCTCAAGATGGCTGCTGTTGAGGTGGCCACCCTTTATCAAGGTCAGCAGAGCTTGTGTGTCGGCGCTGTCCAAAGGCGACTCATACGAGAGCAAAATTGTCAAAACAGGCTTATACATATCTCTTGGGGCTGACTGACAGACGAAAACGACGACGGTGGCGACATTGTCATATCTGAAGAAGAGTTTGAGCGATCCATGGAGCTGCTTGATCTGAGCAGGTGGGATCATGAGTTTGCCGTGCTGGGGGCATTCGAACATCATCAAAGTGCTAATGTTGCGCTGGCTCATGCGCGACGAGTAGCAAAGTTTCCACGCATCCTTCTTGGCGAGTACGCCTGGCCAATTACGATCCGGATGGACCCTGGATGCAGGTGTGTGCACCGTGCCCGGCATCTCGTAGCAACATCCCGTGTGCACCCCCAACTTGATCGGCGGTGCTGGATTTTGTGTTATACTTTTCTTTAGGAGGCTCGTGAGATTCAGCGCGAGTCTTGTCGAGGAAAAAACACTTTGCGCACGTCGTGGCAATCGTGGTGGTACAATGCCATCACCGGACAGGATGCCTGACAAGGGACAAGCTTCACCCTTGATGTGACCCCAGTCCTTTATGGAAACCCAGCTTCCCAGCCTAGCCCAACCCGAGGCCAACGCGCACTGCCCGGCTGAATGGTGTCCGATCCCCTGCCCATGCCCATGGCGTGATGGCGCTAACATGTCTAGACATACATAGAGAGAATTGACCGATTATGCCGATGGTAGCGCGCGTGTCAAGATCGTGTGATCTGAGAAGAAAAGTGGGGTTGTCACATGAAGGAGAGGAACAGCGCTCAACTGTGAAAGCAGACAGAAGGGCTGCAGACGTTGGCGCGAAGCGCAGATCCGCGAAAGAGTTGAAAGCCGGAGCCAGAGTGTGGGAGAAGGATTTGAGATTATAATCGGCCAAACGTCTGATTTATGCCTCGCCACCCTCGACCTTGACGGTGGTCAGGCCCTTGAAGGAAGCAACAGGGACATAGCTGACGTAGGAGTAGAACTCCTCCTTGGCATCCTCATCCTCGTTGCGGCGGCGCTCAACGCGGACGCGGATCCTGTAGGGCACGTTGCGGACACCGGTGGCCCACACAGCCTTGTTCAGGTCCTGGTCCACGCGCACGTCAGAGGTGCTCATGGCCTGAGTGCAACGTAATACACAGAGCGAGACCGCACGTATGCAAGGGTCAGTCAGCGTGACGGGTAGGTGTCAAACGCAGCACAAAACACGGGTCTCGTAACATTTCGAGCGCAGGCGCTCCTGGATGATGGCCTGGTCTTTCAGTCTCGAGGCAAGAACATCGACATCAACGCGAATGGAAGATTCTCACCTTGGCGGCGAACTTCTTGATCTCCTTGACAGCGCGGGGAGCACGCTTCTTGAAGCCACTACGGGACATCAAGAGCAAACAGTCAAGAAAGCGTTTCGAGCGGCACGGGCTTCTGAAAAGAACCTCTCACAGCCCAAGCACCTGAAAAGAACCTCTCACAGCCCAAGCACCCCTTTTGGTCCTAGCCCAAGGAGATGAACCACGGGAACATGGTTCACGCAAACTTACACGCCATGGATGTACTTGTGGAGGTGAATGGTGTATTCACGAGCCACAGGGCCCATCGGCTTCTTCTCCCGAGTCTCAGGCCTGTTGAGAAAGGCACACAGCAGTCGCGGCGGCCGTGTGAGTCGGTCGAACAAAAACAACGGTCATCGAGGCTGAGGGTTGGAAGACTTTCAAGACGCGCGCTTCAAACGAGCCAACCCAGGCTCGCGGGTGCCAATGACAGTCTCGCTTCATTTCGTGGCAAGGAAGCACGAAGGATACAAGAAGCATTCCCATGCTCACTCCAGCACCCAAGCGGAACAACAGGCCCTGACGCTGCCCTTTCCAGTCACGCCAGCCCAGCCGGTCGGGTCACCCACGCGACAAGGATCAAGAGGAGGAAGGCACGTACATGCTGGCGGTGGAAGAGGTTAGAAAAGGCCACCTGCAGGTTCGATTTTGGTAATTGTTTTAGACGAATTTTTACCCACGATATCTTTTCTGTAGCAACCTATAAAAATTGACCCCGTCTGACAATGGATTTTTCATCGAAAGAGTTGGCTTTATATACTGACGAATGGCCGCAGGGGACAAGCTGTTCCTCGCTATAGCTCAGTTGGTAGAGCGATTGACTGTAGTGGATAAATTGTCATCAATTGGTCCCTGGTTCGATTCCAGGTGGCGAGAAGCGCTTTCTCTTTTTGCCTTTTTTATTTTATCCGTGTGGTGTGTTGTGTGTGTGTGAGTGTGTGTGTGAGTTTTGTTTATCTGACATTTACAATTGTCATGGTTTTTTAGTCATCTTGCTGTGCTACTGCTGCTGATTTACATGTTAGTGCCTTCTTCTGGATGTTGATGGCGGAGGTAGGTGGTGCTTCACCTCACCGTCATCTGATGGTGGATCTAGTGGCGTTTGGGTTGCTTTGATGGGGTTGCTTTCCTTGCTCCTTGGCCCTTTTTAGCACACGCCGCTTGAACGCCCCGCCCCCCCATCATCGTAATGGCCGAGGGAGCGGTCACGGCGAGCTTGGACTCGCTGTGTGCGAGCCGCGCAGATCTGGCCCAGGCGTTGGAGCAGCAATTGGACTTGCTGGCTCGGGCGCAGGCTGCTGAACAACAGCTGCCCTCGCTACAGCAGAAAGCACGTCAGACGCTGCAGCAGTATCGGGACCAGTTGGCTGAACTCCGCGTGGCTTTGGCCGACAACCAGCGGTACGACACACATCTTTGGAGCATGCTTGGCCGATTTTTTTGTGGGCCTTTCTCTTGGCACGGTCAACTCACAGACCCGTGCACGACACACCGCATTGGTACAGCGCCTGGGCAGAGTTTGGCGAGGCTCCCGAAATCAATCGCCTCAAGACACTTGCCCATCTCGAGCAGGAAAAGCGTCAACTGACCTTCTTGCAGGATGTGCTGGCGCAGCGGTTCGTTTTCTTCCCCCTTGTGTCGTTGTGTGTCTTTTGGACGAAGCTCTCGCAAGCTCTTTCACATTTCTCATTTTGTCTTGCCCCTCAGAGATCGCGGGCAGGCCGCCATCGACGCGCAGACGCCCGACGCACTTTTGCAAGCCATTGATGCGCTTGAGCAGCTAGCCGCAACAGCTGATCCTGATGTGCCACCTAGTTTCCTGCAAGCATGTTCCACTGCCCGAGCGCAACTTGACACTCATTGTGCTATCCTTTATGCCAAGTGAGCTCCCACAGCCGTTGTCGCTGCCTTGTCGAGTTCAAGTATGATGACCCTCGTCGCTTGACACATAACCTTCGTTGGTCGGGCGACCCTGGGTCCGCAGCATCATCGATTCACACCTGGACGAGTGCACCTGGCCTGTGGAGCCCGTCACTCTCAAGCACACCGTCAGCGGCGCCCTCACTCTGCAAGCCTGTCTCGTTTCTTGTCTCGACTCTAACGGGCGCTTGTCCGCCGCTGCTCGCCAACCCTTTTCCAAAAGGCTGCGTGCAACCATTTCTGTATGTTTCGCGCCTTCTTTATCCCTGGTCGAAGCTCCTCCGTGTCTCCGGTGCCTCACACCGAGCCTGGACCCGACTTGAAACAGCACCATTTGGAGGCGCTGTGGAAGGATGAAGGGCGTGCCGGTGCCTCTGTCTCAGCTTCTCGCACTCGAGTTCAAACGCTGTGTCGCTCCATTGAGCTCGTCCTGAGGCCCCATCTTGCTTTCCTGACGAGGTTTGTTTGGGCCGCTGCTAATCCCGCCCTTTGACGGACGGGCACCTGTCGTCCACTTTGCAATCTCACTCAACAGCGGGCCCTCCTTCCTAATACCGTCACCTCAGCGTCGATGGCCTTCAACGTCACCGCCAATCGCGCCTCGGCGAAGAGCACCTCTTTTCCATGGTCTGTCGTTCGTCCCCTTCTTCTGCCAGCCCATGCTATCCGTTCTTGTTCTCTAGCTTGCCGGTAACGTCTTGTCTGCATGCCATCAGACCTTGGTCCAGGATGCACTCCTCGCCCTGGACAGCTGGCGACAACGTCATGCACAAAGCTTCGCACCGCAGGTGACAATCCATCTTGCTCATCGTCATATCAACATCTTATCAACATTATCATCATCATAATCAAGCTGGCACGCTCACTCCATCTTTTGCCACCCGTGCTTGCCATCCCTGCCCTTCTAAAACCTTTCCCAGGCCTCGATACTAGTGGCTGCGATATTGGAACTCGTGAAAAAGCTGCTCGGCAATCTGCAACTTCCTCTGGAAACAGCTCTCAAGCACTGCTTTAGCGGTGGGTCACAGGCTAAACCCTGCTCAACTATTGGTTGTGTGAGGAGCAATCTGTACATGTTTTCTTCACGTTGTTGTCCAATCCGGCTCTTCTCTGCATTGTTGGCCATCACCAGACCCGACACGGCGGGCACTGGTGCTTCAAGGTCTGTCAGAACAACACAAGCTGGTTTGTGATCAATATCAGCACGGCCAAGTTTGGGCGCCTCTTGCCCTCGCCCTCGATACGTAAGCGTTTCGCAGTTCTGTTTTTTTTTTTTTTTTTTTTTTTTTTTTTTTTTTTTTTTTTCTTCATTCTTTTGCTGCACAGAATGCTGCTCACTGCGTCCATGTTTTGGGGTCTGCGCGACGTGCCCGGCTTCTGCTCCGTTCATCGTCCTGCTCGTAGTCCAGATACGCTCTGCCTCTCACTTGGAGGTGCACAAACGCTGGCTTTTCTCCATACGGTGTTGGAGGCTACCACGGTCCTCAACGACCCGACGTGCTTTGATGAATACGGCCTCGGTCACCTGGCATTCCTTCAAGACTTACGCGCCAACGTTTGCCAAGAACACCTTTTTAATCTGACCCAAGATGCTCATCTTGGTGTTGCTTGCCTGCTGTTCGAGGACGCGCTTGCCATGGAGCAATGGGCTGAACTTACGCTCGCAGACGCAGCAGCCATCGATGACAGTCTGGCGGCTGAAGCCCGCGCCCTCTGCACCGCTATGCTGCAAAGCAGCCGTAAGCATTTGGCCCAGGTGCGTCGCACCTTGACAGTCAAACTGCCTTGCGGCAAGCCTTGCCCCACTCTTTCTTACCCACACTGGTTCTTAAATACAGGCGTGGACGGGTGCTGCCCGAACGGCCTTGCAGACCGCTCTCATGATGCTCGATGTCGGCTGGCAGCATGCCAGCTCTGAAGAAGATGCGGCTGAGGACTCACAGACCTCTGCCGACGCGCGCGCTGAAGCCCAGTTTGATGCTATGGTCCAGCAAGTCGCACATCGTTTGCGAGCCTTTCACCTACGCCTGGCCCGCCTGCTCAGCCAAGCGGCCTTGGCGGCCCTCGAGGTGGCTGCGCTGGACGAAATCTTTGCCGTTTGCTTGGAGGGCATCCAAAAAACTTTGGGCCTTGAACGCAACGCCCAGCTCGAGCGTCTTGTTCTGGCGATGGCCTTCGGGCTGCACCAAGACTTGTCAGCGCCCACGTGTCAAAGGTGCGTTCTCCGCACAGGGGATCAAGCAAACTTTGTCGTCATGCTTGCACAAGCGCCCTCACCATCTCTTTCATCTTCCATCGTCATGTCCCTCAACACTCACTATCATCAGGTTGCAAGACCTCTTGGTGATTACAAACTTGGAGCCCGAACCATGGTTCAAGTGAGTGGCCAGTCCTTATGGCTTGCTGCCGTGGTATATCTCATCATCTGTACTGACGCTAACGAATTCCTTGACGTTTGGTTCTGAAGACTCTACAACCTGTTAGCAACACCCGAACTGCGCCGAGAGGCTGAGGCTCAGGCTCGCGCAGTTGGGATGCATGCCTTGTCTGTGACTGTTATCAAGTATGCCCTTGCTTCGTTTGCCAGGGTGCCTAAAGTATTGTGGTACCTCTTGCCCTGAACTGTCTCACCACCGCCACCACTGCGGCCCGTGCCGCCACCCTGTATTCGCTAGGTCCATAATGGACAAACACGTTGGGCATCGCCAACGCTTCGGCCTTGCAGATACATAAAGTCGTTGCCCGATTTCTTCCAACTTTGCAGCCGTCCTCAATACTGAAGCAGGTGGGAACACGAGTTCATCTAATCCAAATGGTCAATGTCAATTTCACCCAATGTGCAATTATTGTACTGTAATACGATGTTGTTGGAAATAAATATCATGTCCAAAATCAGGTCTGGTAAGCTGACACACAGCTTGAAGTGCATTTGCCACCATCATCACTGCGTGTTGTTATCGCGGCGGAAGAGCGAGCGCCAAGAAGGCATTCAAAAAAACAACAACACAAACGCTTTGCGCACCCTGCTTGGCTCATGATGGTGGAGCAACACGGGCAAAGTAAATCCACCCCACCACTGCATTCCGCACATATGGTACCAGATGCACCGCAAGCCCAAACTCGGCATTGCGGTCGTGCGTGTCCCAGATGAGTGAGGCGCGTGCCAACTGCGTCAATGCCGTGCGCGACGTTAAAGAGCAACAGTATGGTACGCCAGCAAAGGCATAGGCGCTCACAATCTCTTGGAGCTCTGGCTGCTCATCGCCACGCAAGCACACGCCCTGCACCCGAGCCTCCTCAAACACGCTGAGACTGCGATGAAGACACTGCGATAGGTGGCGGTTCCATCGCGTAATTTGACTGCCGCGCCAGCCTTCAATCTCTTGCCGCAATGCATCCAACAGCGTTTCATGGAGCGTCTGCAAAGCCAATGGATCCGCGTCGGCGTAAGGTAAAACACTCAGCTGCATGGTGGTCAGTCGCGGTGCCTCATCAAAGAGCGGTCGCCAATGTTGACGATCCGTAACATTAAAGCCCATGGTACTAGGCTTGGTCGTGCTCTGCAGAAAAGGAATAAACAGACGAAATCCCAACCAAATCAGTTAGTATGCTAGTAGCGCAGATGAGATGGCAAGGTATGGCCATTTTCCTTGAGTGGCACAGCAAAAACAATCGACTACAAGAGAGCGCGCGGGACATACCTGAATGTTGATCCAGAGATTTTGCTCTGAAAACATGGTGCCAATCGCGCGAAAGAGACAATTTGGATCTCCAACAGCCACATGCTCGCCCACGGTTACGTCCCACAAAAAGTACTCTTCTTGGGCTTTTGTGAGCACGGCGGCAGTGCGACCTTGAAGCGGGTGGGCGCAAACCACCACAAAGGCTTCTTGCACTGTGCTCTGATGCAGTACATAATTGCAGAATAAGATTGCCTTCTCCAGATTGGTAGCTTCGCCCAAGCGAAAAACCTGGTCACTGGTGGCCGTCATGTCAACTCGCAGGCGTTGACGAGAAAAATTGTGCCGCGCTGGTGCAAGGGCTGCCACGACGCGAGCAAGGCGCCTGAGGCGCACCAATTCAGGCTCCTATGCGCACCACCACAAAGCCCCCGGTTAGACGTGTCTTGCTAGCAAGAGAAGAAAGCTAGCACCTGGGGTAAAATGAAGTTAGTCATACACTATCAGAGGTGTCAACGGCGCCGCGTCCGCGCCGGCGACGGCCCCCGGGTGCCATGGACGTGGTGTGAAGCTGCGGCGGGGCCTGGGGTGCAACGAACCGCGGCAAAAGCACCTATGTCCAGTCGTAAGAAGATGAGCCAACACGGCAGGGACTGCAGGAGATCCCAATGCGTGTTGAGTCAGGCTGTACTCATGCTTGTGACGCGGGTACGGCTCTGGGCGACACTGACCTCCAAGCCGGCCAAGTCAATGGTGCAAGTTTGAACCACGCGATCGTTGAAGCTTCCTTGCATTTCATGAGCCAGCTCACGTGCAGCGGCGAGCAAGTCTGTCGGCTCTTCGCTTTCACAACGCAAGGCCACAGCCTCGGGCGTCTTGAGCGGCGGGCTCAAAGAAGCAAAAAGGGTGATGGCCGGTGCTGTATGGGCCAACGTTGTATCCCATTGGCCTGCCTGTGGTTGCAATGGCAGCTGCAATCCAGTTTCACTGACGGAAGGGATCGCACCAACCTGATGGGCACCTAGAGAAGCACATGCACCAACCACGTCCGCGATATTAAAGAAAGGGACAGAGAGAGAAAACAAACAAACAAACAAACAAACAAACAAACAAACAAACAAAACAAACCTGCACCATCAGAAGCCATGGCTGCATGCCGCTGATGTCCGTGTAAGGCTAAAGGCGTGTCAAAGGCAAATATGCCTTCCATCTAAGACCAGGCAAGCACAATCAGCGGTCATACATATCTCGCACTTGCTAGGCAGAAGCAGCAAAGAGCTGCGGCGCGGCAACAAGACCATCACGGCGGCGGCTACATGGTCCAAGCAGTAACCGCAAAGTAGAGCACACTGGAAAGGGAAAACAAGCCGATAGCAAGGCAGAGACCAGGCGAGGCGAAATACCTGTGTAAGCTCAAAGAGCACCGCCACAGGGATGGTCAAAGTGCCTAGAAACTGTCGTCGAACATGGACCATGACTTCGGCCCCGTGGCTAGGCGTGCTCTGGTCGCTGTTGGGTACCTGTGTGGTGTAAGACAACGCAATGTGCACGAAAGATCGCGGTGACGTGAGCAGAGCATGAGGGACAGGATCCTTGCTGCACGTCACCTCGACATAGCGAGACGCACTCGTTTCTCGTCGTAGAGCGTGAGGCTGACTTCGTCCAGGCAAGAGCGCAAACTCTCGGCGCTGATGGCACCTGTATGAATTTAAAATGTAAAGGGATATCAGGACCGTGCGAAGAAGGGGCAACCAGCACCATTTAAACAAGACAATGATGCCAAAATCGGGTTTATCGGCCCAACCTTGTGCCATGGTGAAGGGAAGGACGAGCTCTTCGTTGAATGTTGCATTGGCACCCACGCTGACGGATGTAGACACGGATTGACCTGCGAAAAGCACACGGCAATGAAACCGCAGCTGGCAATCCAGGCCTATACAGGAGCAATTTGTCACGCCAAACCTTGCAGTGTCGCAACAATGACGCAGTTGGCCACGGTATCAAGTTTCTTGAGCACATCGACTACACTCAATGAAGTTTGAGCGGTTGCCGGTCGCATGTCATTGCTTGTGCCGTTGCTGCCGTCCAAGCCACGCCGAGTTCGATTACGGCCTCGTCGCCCCACGTCACCGGCATTCGAGGAACTGCCAGAGACGCGCAAGGGAATGCGTGCAAGCTGCCCAACGCGGAGGCAAATGTTCACTTTCGACTGCGTCAGAGGGGCTGCGTGTCGTTGCTGCTCACGGTGCGGCCGCAGGGGTCGATGTGGTTGGAACCAGCTCAGTACCCGCCGCATCAAGGGGCTCTATGATCGTCCCCATGACAAACAAGCACCGTGGAGCACCAGAGTGTATCAGCCACACCGCCACACAAACATCCAAGTGCAGATGAACCCAGCAACGGCTGGAGGTTGGTAAACGAAATCAACAAGCCACAATCTCATGTTCTTGTTCGTTTTACCAGCGTTTTATGGAGCAACAGCCAAACACACCTGAAAAAAGTTGATGGAGACGGAAATGGGCAGGTAAGTATCGTCCACAATGTCCGAGAGTCGGGGAGCCATGGCTAATTGATTGAGTCGCCGCGCTCGTTCCAAGAGAAGTGCCATCAGCTCGTGTCCCTGTTCACCCCGTAGATAGCTATGATGTACATTTAAATACGGAATCAGCGAGAAATGAGAACAAATAGTATGGTGAGAGGGGGAGCGTGGCTGGAGAAAAGCGCGCGTACGATGCGCAAAAACACGTACGAATATGCCTCATTAACAGCACGGCTTAGCACCGAGGTGCCGTCAGTTTCAGCCCGCTGCTCAACCAGGCCATGGCGACGCAAATCATCAATGTGCTCCAGCTGCTGAACGGGAATCTCGGGTTCTGTCAAAGGACAAGGTTTGCCCACCAGTGCATCCTCGTTCTGGGCGCGTAGCAGCAAGAATTTGTGCCGAGCATTGGCCAGGGCCAGATCACCCTGATCGACGAGCCGCGGGCTATTCGCCACAGCTTCGGCACGAGGACTCACGAGAGCATCAAACGTAATGTCGTCTGGTGCTCCAAGTCGAAAGTATTCCGTCGTTGAGGGCTTGGCATGCATGGCACCAACGGCTGCCAAAAGTTTTTGATTCATGGGGTCCAATGGGTCAAGGGCGGCTTGATGAAGCCAACGCGAGCGCAGTTCACCGGTCGGCAGGCCGGCAAAGCCTAGACCTGCAAGCGTCTGCAGTTCTCGGAGGGCATGCAGCTGTTGATCCATGTCCAGAGCCGCAGCGCGAGGCCCCATCAAGAGTCCATCGTGAGGCGAACGCGCCCAACCCACTGCGTAGCATATTTGGCCGGTCAAGAATTCAAGATCATCGCCTCCCAGATCAAGTCGCAGTTCGTCCTCCTCGGCATTGGTCAGTCGCAAACCCGGCCGGGAGCGCTGCTCCGAGCTGAAGGTTACCCAGGAGGTGCGCCCCTCGTCCACAGCCTGGCCAGGCGAAGGAACGGGCAGAAATACCGTGGCGAGCTCAATCTCTCCGCTTCGAGATGCCTCTAGAACCTAATTAAGAAGGCGAAGAAGGTTAAGGCACGTTTGCCGAGTCAGAGGCCAGGGCAAAATGGGATCTTGGCATAATGCTGGGTGCACCGGTGAACACAGCTCACCTTGACGGCCAGATTTCGAGGGGCAGCACGGAGACGGCAGGTGACGTATTCTCGACAAGGCAGGCTAAAATCATTTTCATCCAAGCGCACGTCATTGGATTTGAATACCTGGCAGACAGCACACGGAGGTTGAGTAGGGTTCACTTTGCGGGTGTGAAGCAATAAGACTTGGCATCAACCATGCGCGCCAGGTACGGACCTGTTTGTCATTGATGAAAAGAGCCAGGTGATACTTTATGGCCTGGGCACGCTGACGACGGCGGCGCTCAGTATTTGGACAGTCCTTGAGAGGTGTCACATCTCCATGGGCAGAAAGGTGTGGGATCAAACGAGCTTGGCCCGGTGGGCGTCTATGCCGGTTGATCATGGCCTCGAGCCGCTGCTTGGCAGCGCTCTGCGCAAAAAAAGCCAAGCGACCATCTTCAGGGTGGACGCGAGGGGGCTCCAATTCGGGGTCCATGGCAGCCTGCTGAAAGTAGTCAAGGATGATCTCGCAGGCGAATTTGAGGTACTCGAGGTCCAACCGCTCAGCCACCTCCTGATCTTGAGATCGTTGATCTTCTTCAGCCACACAGGGCACCTTTTGCACTTTGAGGAGGAGAGGCGAGGACACAAAACCTTGCTGACGGCGAAGCGCCTTGATTTGCTGCCAACAAAGCAGAATGCCTCGAACAACATGGCTCTCACGGCGTAGCAAGTCGTCGCGTGCCTCAACAAGCAACGCCCATTCACGCAAAATTCCCGTCAAGCTGTTGTATACAGCAAGGCCAAGGGCGTGCGTGAAAGAGAGCGAAAGAGGCCAAGAACGTCGTAGGTTGGTGTGGCAAAAGTCAATGAAAATTGACAAACGTACCGTTCGAGGGCTAGGCGCGCCACTTCTGCGGGCGCTTGCTCGGCATCAGGCACGAGCATCGTCCCGTTTGCACCCAGGGTGGTAGCGAGTAAATCGTGATCGCCCACGACAACGACCCGGTGACGCACGGCCATGTCGGCCGCTGTGAGGCCTGGAACAGCTGAGCCGGTGAGCAGCTCATAACGGCGAAGTTCGTGAGCTGCACGCTGTGCTTGCTGATGCAGGCTGTCCTCCAGAACAGAAACCTCGTGGTCCACGTCCATGTCCACGTATTGTTGCACAAGTGCCTCAAGTCGAGCTGCTATTGCCTGCGTCAGGAATGGATGTGGGGGTGAGATAGTTCACTGTGCTACACAAACCACGAGTATTATCATTCTTGAGCCAAATGGAGGAAAGCAAAATTGGCGCACCGCACCTGCTCGTCGTTGAAGGCTGGATGACTGAGAAAACGCACACCAGAGAGATAGACACCTATCTGGATAACTGCATCGGGGCCCGCGAGAGGCTCGTGGCCCTCGGGCGAGCCCAACAGATTGCCCACCGGAGACGCTTCAACATAGATGAGGTCAGGTTCGTCGTCATCGTCGTCGTCGCGAGAACCAGCGCCTTCTTCCTCGGCCAGGTAGCTGTTGTCTAGGGTTTCAGCCTGGGCTAGTCGGCGATCCACCTCGAGCTGCAACAGATCAAGCCGATCCAAGACGAAGGGAGCTCGGGTGCGTGTATCTCGGAGCGGATTGACAGCGGTCAACACGTAGCCATCAACGTCCAACCACTTGGCCAAAACACTGTTGTCTGGGCGCTCTGGATTATCAGACTGCAGCGTTGCCAGCTGCGCAATGCGCTGGCGCCAGGCCGAAGACGTGTCGGCAGGCAGAGTCATAGGGCGAGCAACGTACAGCCCATCTTCCTGAGCTCGTTGTTGTTGTAGAGCTGGCGCATGGTCGGGTAGTTCCGGGGGCATCAGGGGGGCACGCTTGGCGTGGCGCTGCACCGCAAACAACTTTGTGACCTTTGGCACGTTGTCAGGTGCAGGTGCAGGCGTTGCTGCGTGCAGGCGCAGCAGTGGCTCGTCCTAGAGTCACACAAAGACAGCATTGAGAGGCCTGAAAATATGGGCTGGCACAGCAGAGGGAAGAGCACAGCAGAGGAAAGGGGGCAAAAGGTCTTGCATTGTCACGAGACTCGAGACTTACCATGGGAATCATTACATGCTCAGCAGCCTCTGTCGGCTGAGGTTCGTCGGTGACATGGATTGTTCGAGATACAAAACCTTGCGCATCCCACCAAGAGACGATGGCAGCAGAGGCTTCCACATCTTCTAGTTGGCGGCGTAGAAGATGCCCACCGGCAGATTTGGGTCGCGGAATATCAGCAACAGGCAGGCTGTGATGTGAACCGAAAGAGATTTCGCTGGGAGGCCGCTCCTCAAAAGAGTGCTCATGATGGCCTAGGCCAGCTGCGCGATTTTCATCGTCATGGCCCACAGAAGAAGCGGTATCACTGGCATCATCATGAAAGCGGCGGCGGCGGCGACTTGTTTGTCTTCGGCTGATGCGGCGCGCTGACTTGACACGTGGCGGCGAGGTCGCAGGCCGCTGCGAGGCTGTCTCGGCGATTGGTGCTGTTGAAGTCGTTGCTCGTGTTGGTGACGGGCCGCGCGGGAGTAAGGCCGCGGGAACACCGGGCACGGTAGACGAAAGAGCAGTGGAGGGAGTTTCCAGTGTTCGCTGGGCCAAGCGTTCTTGACGCCGCGCCTGGACCTCGGAGCGGCGGGTTTCGCGCCGCCGACGGGTGGGGCGTTCAGTGTGACTTGAGTCAGCCACACGAGCCGGCAGCTCAGAAGCTGGTTCTGGTGAGCCAACCACGTCCTGTTCTTGGGCTGCTGTGGTCACATTTGCAGATGCAGATGCAGTTGTAGGAGGCACTGCGGCTATAAGAACACGAGCACAATTCAACCGAGCTGAGTTCCGTCCTCTGTGTGTGTGTATGTGTTAGACGAAATTAGAGGGAAGATCCGGAACGTACGTGGATCATGGCGGGCAGCAAGCTCCTGGCGCAAACGACGCCGTGTTTCGCGGCGCTGTTGTTTCAACTGCTGCAGCAGCTGGGCTTCATCTTCAGCACCATCTGGAACATTGCTGTCGGACCGAGCCGGAGGTATGGCTTCAACGGTCGACGACACCGACAACGCGGTCGACTGTCCATGAACATCGGCACGTGAGGCTCGACGTCGCCGTCGCTCCCCCCGCTGGGTCATACTGCCCTCCTGCCCTCAAATGCCCTCCTCATGCAGCCCCCCACAACCTTCCGCGGCTCCACACCAGAGGTAGCAGACGAGGAAAGCGCTCGTCACGGCGTCAGAACCAACTTCACGCCCCCCACCCCCCTTCTTTCCCAAATTTTTGTTTCAAAAAAAATCTCACAAAAACAAAAAAAATTTAAAATTTTTGGTTATGTACATGGAAGTAAGGAAACGAAAAAAATAAGTAAAATACAAAAGTTCAACATGGTGAGGCTTCTAAAGCTCCTAAAGCAAGCTTGAACGCTGATGAGGTAGATGGATGATCATGGCGGTGGCGGTTGCTAGATGGGCTGGTGGGCTGGTGGGCTGGTGGGCTGGTGGGCTGGGTGATGGGGAGATGGGGCGGGGGGAGGGTGTCGCGGACACAGGGGGGTGTGGGTTGATTAGGTGTATAGTTCGCGAACGGTAAAGTCAGACAAGCGGGTCACAGCGTCCGTGACGGCGAGGACGGAGCCGGGGGCATTGAAGAGAAAGCCCACCCGAATATGGGTGGTTCCGACACGAAACGCGTTGTTGCGCTCATCGGGCCAAGCCAGACCCGACACGCTGGCCGTCAGTGCGCGCGGGCCCACTGTTTGGTTGCCAGAAAATTCATAGATAATGGGCGACAGATCGCTGCCGCTTGTGTGGTGGAGCAAAACGAGCAAGGAGGAGGGCGGGCTAGCTTGCAGGGCGGCTTGAAGCACCTCCAGGGCGGTGACGGGCATGGCAAAATCGAGGCGCAGCTGGCTTGGATTGTCGTCGTTGCTCACGGCAGCGAGCACGCCAGTCACGATCAAGGGGAGCTGGTCGGGCCCGTGTAGGTAGAATCCGATAGCGATTGATGAATTGATGCCATTGAACCAAAACCTGCGGTTATATTGGCTTGTGGTGTTGAGCACCACTTCGTGAGCAGATAGCGACAGCAGCCGCGCTTGAGAAGCTGCCGCGCGGCTCACCATTGTGCTAGTGATGTACGTGTCGTTGGCATAGCACTCGACAAAGACCCGTGTAGTACTGGCGGGTCCTCGGGCCTCAAAAGTCCCCGCCAGGATCAGGGCTGCCTCACCGCTGCGCAAGGCCGGTGAGAGGGGCAGCCGTTGCGGATGGCGGAAAGTCCTTTGCCCGTGCATCACCGCGTTGTCCACATCAAAGGTGGTATAGGCGGGCAGGGTCGCCAGCCAGGGTCTTGCCTGCAGCGCCTCCAGCTCAAGTCGGACATTCACGCCATCAATCAAAACGTCGGCACCGGTCTCACTATGCAGATGCAGACCCAGTCTCTCATCCAAAAACAACTCTTGAGCTCCGATGGGCGCTAGTAGCAGCAGGCACAAGCCCCACAAGCCCTGGCGCCCCGACCGCCGCCGCCGTCCTTTCATCGTGCCGAGGTGTGTGTGTGTGTGTGTGTGTGTGTGTGTGTGTGTGTGTGTGTGGAGAAATGTCAGAGAGGTCGTGCTCTGAAATACACGAACAAGCACAGGGGCACTATCAGCAGACGCAGGTGTCGGCTCAGAACCAATTCCAGATGGAATTGATTGAGATGGCAAGGTGAGGAACACACGTGCCGGACGTGACTGTTGCTTGATATTATGTGAACGTGACCTTGAGCGCGCCCGGATTTGGTAAACGACATGAAAAGACGCTGCTTCATGATGATAACAACATTGCTTAAAAAATTGAATTGGAGGGGTCAGCGCGCCGCAAAGGGTTCCTCGTTCGGCGCTTCACGCCATAGGTGACTTGACGTGCAATTTCTTGGCCTTGAACAGTTCTGACAAGGGATCCTTGGTCATGGCGGCTCGGATCGCTCGGATCCACGATTGCATTGATTCCTGCGGGAGGCAGCATTGGATTGAATCATCAGCAAAAGCCACAATGTCATCAAGTGTGCAATCGGCCCCGTGGGTGTCCAGGCAGGCACGCCAGGACAGTACCTCGTCAGCAGCACATATACGATATGACGTGTGGCGACCTTGCACGAGCTTGCCGCTCTTCACCTTGGCCGCCTTCACATTCATCGGGCTGGCACCCTCATGTTTGTCTGGTCCAATGATAAAGCAGAACTGCGTGCCCCGGCGTGTGGCGGTGGGTGTGAGGCAGAGGCGAGAAAATGCGCCAGAACAGAAAAGTGCGCTTGGCTCCCTGCACGTAAGACTACAGAGCTCACTTGTTTCTTTGGATCCTCGTAAACGGTGAGGCTCTCCAAAGGAATGGTCCCCTTGGGCGTGGCCGACTCAGGGTCTTCAAAATAGTAGAGGCAAGAGTTGCTGAGAATAAACCAACGACGCTTCCAGGTCCTTGCCCGACCGCCTGCTCAGTAGACAGCCAAGTCAGTCAGAATCAACTCCACATCATGTCGCCGCGCCTTGATTAGCGTCAAGTCCAAAACGAACCTTCTTTCGTCAACCAGCCCGATTTTTCCGAGTTTACAAAGACATCCAAGCCCTTGCCTAACCATTTGCGCCGAAACACAGTCAATCTTCCCGCTCTTTTCAAAAGCAGCATTGCACAGGCTAAGCGCGACCGCTACGCCTGAAGCAAAAAAGACGTTGTCGTACCCTCGTCTGGAATCTGAAACTTTTCTGCCTTGATATTGTCATAGATGATCTACGACCCCAGAGATTGCTTTAGACGCCGACCGCTCACGCACGAAACCAATCACCCGACAGAAACAAAAAAGGCTTTTGACAGTCTTACCGTCAGAAACTCGGCAGGGAGATCTTCGCCCGCGTCGATGCCGCGGTTCATACTCAAAAACTGTTCAAGTGTCATCTGAAGAAGCATCGCCGGTATTTATCAGCAGGAATGGACGACAAGGAGACGAGAAAAAAGAGAAAGAGAAAAGACAAACAAACAAACAAAAGCGAGTTGCAAGCGACAGACCCGGTCCTTGATGCTGGGGTTGTGCAGGCTGGTGTTGAGCATAATGGTGGCAAATGCCAAGACATATCTATGCGTGCCAGGTCGGAATCAAGAGGCGAAGCATGCGTGTGGGAATCAGCACAGTTACTCGTAGCAGGAATTGGGCCAGCGATAGGGTTTTGGCATTCGCACAAAACTTACGCCGTGTCGGACATGCGAAACTGGTTGGGGTTGCATTCATGGTAGCGAGTGGCAAAGCTTTCCATCATGCGGTCGATCTTTTGCGACTCGCCCGGCAGTCGGAAGCTCCACAAAAAGCGGCGCAGGGCCCCGTCAAACGTGACGTGTGTAAAATCATGCAGCGAGCAAAACTCTTTCAGTACCTATGGAAACAGAAGAAGGCAGGGTTGTCCCAAAGCCGGGTCGGTAAACCAGGTGAGCGTTGCAGTTGCCCTGATGCCCTGATGCCCTATTCAGCTCAAGCAGCCCAAGCAAAATCGTACGTCCAGGTTGAAGGGTACATGCTCGCCCAAAAAGTCACCAATCTTGGCCTTGTCAAGACCCGGAGTCTAATTGATTTGAGCATGCACGATGAGCAGGATAAAATTTGGGCCCCCGAGCGCGAGATGGGCAGACTCAAACGCACAGTTAGCAGAAAAGCCGCAACTGCAGCAGGCGTCTCCTCTGGAATGATGCCGTGTTGAATCGCCAAATCCACTCCCTGAGCGCAAACAAGCAAGCCAAGACTCATGAGCCGTGAGCCGATGGTAGCTGAAATAGCTTGAGCAGACAAGCGTTGGCTACAGGAGAGAAAAAAAAAAGGCATGCCAAGACAGGCCCCGTTGTCAAAGTCAAGCGCGTCGGCAAACCTCGGCTGCCTTTTCGTTAAAGGCCTTTTTAACATCGCGGAGCGCCTGCGCCTGCTCTGGGCTTCCCTTTTGCTGGTCCCTACACATTTGGGCACGACGTTCATATTGGTGTTATCAAATTGCTGCAACTGATTTGGGACGAGAGGCACGGGGGCGGTTGTGAGAACGTACTCTTGCTCGGCAATTTCTTCGAGTTCGAACACAATGCTTGCAATCTCATCGCGCAGGGCCTGTAGGAAATCAGATTTGAGCGCAGGTTGAGATGGGACGAGGCCCGAGCCAAGTCGAGCATCAAGGCGGATAGCGCTTGGGGATGCAAGCTCGGCATCAGGCTGACCTGAATTTCTCGATCGAGCTCTAGCTTCTCTTTCTGAATAGCGGCCAAATGCTCGCGGTCTCCTTCCATGGTGGCGGTGGTGTTGCCGCGCAGCTTTTCGTTATGCTTGCCCCACTTGAATCCTGAGGATCAGGGGGGAGGCGCGACAGGATGTATCGCAGGAAGAATTCGCGCCGCACTAGTCACACCAAGGTGGGGTGACGGGGGCGACCTTGGCTCCAGATCTCGTGACACCCGGACCGTGCGGCGCACAGAATGCAATGAACAGGATCGGCCACACCCAACTACTTTTGTGCTTTAGAATGCAATCGTTCTTGAGCTGGGTGACACCAACGCTGCCTGCCGAGACATGAAAGCAGGCGTGGACACAGGGTATCAAGCAGTGAGAATCGATCCTATGACCCGCATGCCTTGCACCGTACCTCATCCCCCACCCACAACTCGCATACACACACACACACACACACACACACACACACCACAACAAAAAACAGCAAGCAGCAAGCCAAGACCACACCACGCTCAGCCAGTCACACCGCCAACCGTTCCCGCCCCGCCGACTGCCAAATGCCACACACACACTAAACGGCGTGAGAGAGTGCTTCAGTGCGGATGTGTAATATTGGTCACGCTTTGCGCTGCTTCATTTCTTTTGTGTGTGTGTGTGTTTGCTTGTTTGGCTCTCTGTGTCTCTCTGTCTTTGGCAATTGGGGGTCTGACGCTGTGTCTGGGCTGGGGCTTATAGCTGGTTCTGTCTTGCTGGTTTCGGAGAGTTTGTCCATCTTGGTGGTGTTGCATCTCTGTTTCTGTGTTGCTCGCTGGGTATATTCCCTTTGCCGCCGCTTTGCCCTCATCTCTCCGATTGAGTCCTTCTAAGCTTGAAGAAACGAAACGAAAAAAAAAAAAGTGTTTGGTCCTTCGACCAACTGATGCTGGTTTCCAATCCACTCTGCACTGCCGAGGCCGAGCACTGGCCTTGGGCTAGGCAATCATGCCAGTGCTTCCGCCAGCTTCAAAACGAAACAAAACAAAACAGTGGATGACTATCATCCAAACTCAACTCGAGGGGCGGGTCCATCAGTGCCATATTGTTCAAGGGATCGCTCACAACCTTTCGAACGATACCGGTGCTACAGGGACAAGATAGCCAGCGCTTAGTCAGATGGGGGGCTAAAAGCTTCATACAGGGCCGAGGTGCGTAATGACATGTTGCGTATGGAGCGGGCAATGTCTTGCTGTGATGCGGTACAAAGGAATAAGGCAAACATCCTTGGTGAGCTGGGCTCGTGACTCAACAATGCCAAGCCGCGAAAAATCAATCATACGTCATCGCGAAGCGGCGATTCCGGGGAGTGGTCTTCCGCGGGCTGCGCACGCCTTCGCAAAGCCGTAGCCGAGATGTGGACGGGCTGACTTCGGCTCAGCAATGCATTTAGCTCGGCATCCTATCAACTCAAGCGCAAGTTAAACCACCTGCGAGCACAGGACACGGGGGCGCACGCGAGCAAGGAAAGGGTACGAGGACAAACCGTGGGCTCTGCTCCGGCTGCCGCCGAGGCCTGCGCAACCTCCTCTTCGTCGTCGTCAATGTGAATCTCGGCGTCCGACGGTACGTCATCGTGGTCATCAGCAAGCATCGCCTCTAGGAGGAGCGCCCGCGCATTGGGTGCGGCCACTACCTCCTGATCAGCCATCAGCTAGCGGCAGAGGCACAAGGGTAAGAAGAGTACATAAGAATGGTGCAAAGCCCGCTGGCCCGGCCCGTTTGTTGCAACGTACCCGCATGGATGTTGATGCCGTGCGGCTGCGGAGACTGCCTGCAAGCCACGAACAATCGCAAATTTTGTATTACATGTTAGTACCCATGCGTGCCATGAGAAGGCCAATGCTTCTCTTGCTCCGTGCAGATAGTAACCAACCTGCGCTGGAAGCCGTGAGCAAACCGTCGTCGGAGGGCTCGGTCAAGCTGCCGTCTAAACGAATGTTCCGTAGCATACGCTCCACATTGGCGTTGGCCACAAACAAGCCATCTTGGTGACGCCGCGAAGCCCGGGCCACGACGGCCTGGCCCACCAAGTCACTCAGCGCTTCAGTGCAGCCAGCGTCAACTGCGTTGGCGGCGCATTCATAGGCTAACATTGCGATCATGGTGCGTGTGATAGGTTTTGCAGATTAGAATGGCACCGCACTGAAACCGGCTCAGTCCCACGGCAGCAAAACGCACACCCACCCACCGATGCAAAGCACTTCGGGGGGGACCGAGGCTGCAGCCCCCAGCGCGCTGGGATTCGTTGCATTTTCTCTATCACAAATGCCCAAAGAAGAGCGTGTGAAAGTCGCCAGTGAGCCAGGAGCCCTTTGCGCACACCAGTCGCCCCGGTAGCTTAGGCTGCGGTCCAGGTCTCAATACAGGCAAGTTTGACTTTGATCAGGAGAACAAACAGCGTACTCGTCATGTAGCATGGCTTGGACCTCCATCAGGAGGTGTCGTTGCAGGCGCGTCAACATGTCCAGCTGTTGTTGCTTGTAATGCCTGCCACGGTTGCAGTCAGCCATTTGGGTGAGCGGGAAGTATTGCAAGCTGGAGAAGCATGGGCAAGGCCACTGACTCGATTTTGAGCATGGTAGCGGCTTGGTAGTCGCGTAGTTGCGAGATGAGAGGTTGAGCCAGCTAAGGAGGGCAAACAAGCGGGCGTTTGGGGTGAACGCGAGAGGCACGATGAGTTGGTTGGTGACAGAAGCCGCAAAGCCGGCAAGAAAGCGCCGCTGGCACGGCGGGCAAGAGCGTCGAGAGCAGAATAAAAGTTTATACGGACTGACATGGGGGTTATTGTGCAAGGCAACGGTCAGGTTGGCACTGGCCGTCGTGTTGTCAGCTGCGTCAACGGCAGGTGCTTCACGTGCCGCTTCGGCGTCCATCTCGACACCGCTGGCTGGCACATGTTGGCGCAGGAAACGTTGAAATTGCGTTGTGCGCGCCAGCTCGCTCGTGTCGGCCTGACGGTTCGTTCGTGGCAATCGGCCTGTGGGATACATCGAGCATGAACAGCGGTGGTTTCAAAGAGCAGGAGAGGGAGAGAGAAGGGTGTGTGTGTGTGTGTGTGTGTGTGTGTGCTGCGAGCCAGGGTTGTGGCAAGCAACCGGAAACATTGCATAGCCACTTTGACACACAATGCGCTGATGGTTCACAAACAAATAGAACAAGCGAGGCGAAGAGAGGGCAAAGACAGGGCGACCATTCATTCACTCGACCCATGAAGAGGAGCAAAAGTCTGATCAAGGGAGGTGACGCACCAACAGTCGTGGCCGTAGTCATGAGCTGCTGCTGATAGGCAGCCACACTGGCCGTCACGACGCTCTTGGAGCGTGCCCGCGTCTCGACCTCATCCGCGCCCACACTGGCCGGACCCAGCGCCCCAGCTCCCTTGCCCCGCCCCGATGTCGTTGCCGGCGTCAAATGATCAAACATGGCCACTTGCGGTGCCTTGCTCAGCACGCCCTCCCCCCTCACAGCTGGCAACGAAGACGCCATCCCCTCCTCACCCTCCGCTACCCCGGCCACCGCCGCCGCCGCCGCCGTCCTGTTGAGCTCTGCCATCGTGAACATCAACAACAACACACACTGAAAAATAGAAAATTGAAACCAAAAAGAAGAGAGAGAGAGAGAGGGTGTGTGTGTGAGAAGAGAGAGAGAAGAGAGTAGAGAAGAGAGAGAGAGTGTGTGTAGAGAGAGAGAGAGACAGTTTCAGAGAGAGTCTCGAGATTTTGAGAGAGAGAGAGTGTGACAGAGAGTTTTGAGAGAGAGAGAGAGAGAGAGAGAGAGATGTGTGTGTGTCTGTGTGTGCAGTGAAAAACAATCGAGATAAGATTAAAGGGGTGAGTTTATATACAACCTGGCTTGATGCTACACAAACCTCATATTGTACTGCATGTTCTTATCAATACCTCTCAGCATAAAGTTAGCCAACATATCCATAATCTACATTAACTCCCAAAGAAAGCATCAACAACTACCGTAGTGTCAAAGCACACCTCTCTTGTCATCATTTTCCAACTCGACGCGCGCGCACACACACACGACAGAAAAAAAAAAAAAAAAAACGGCAGCCGAGTTCGTGTCGTGCCGGGGCTGGACTGCGTCGTATTCTATGCTCGACACTGGGACTGGGCTGTGTGCTGGAGGTGGGTGATGTGGTAAAGCCCGTTTTTGGCTTTGTTCCAACGGCTTTGAGGTGGTGGTGTGCTATTTGACTGTTTGGGAGCGTGGAATGAGTGTGACGGCCGCTGACCCCAGACCTCGTGCCTCTTGGTGGCAGACGGACGTTCGTCTTTGGTGCGCTGCTCTAGCAGGTGGTCCAGTTCTCAGATCCTTGCCTATTCCTGGTGGTCAGCTGCTGGGGGCCACCAAGCATATTGAGCGACCCTCGTCTTCAACGTCGCGTGGCACGGCGCTGGCGCTGGCGCCGCTGCCATCGCCAGCCTCGTCACCATCGTCACCACCCGCCCCCTTTTGAGCGCTTTCCTTCTCCAAGCACCCTGCGTTCCATGCGCCCGCGAGCAGTGTACCAAAGGCCACTTGACGCATTTACATACTGCTTTCTGGCAGCCTACAAGCAAAGAGTGTGGCTGACCCGCTGGCAGTGATCGTCACCGTCAGCAAACATGGTTGACCTTGTCACAAGCGTCGAGGCCCAGGTGGCTTGTTTGGACATGCAGTTGCATCTCGTGGAGCTGGCTGATCTGCCCAACACCAATGCTTGTCACCGCTGTGGAAGCCGATTCGAAGCCCACTCTCGGTACAATTTCCTCCTCCACCCGTCCTTACTACTTTGTGTATATGTCCGGACCGCTTCCTCATCTGAACCGCGCACGCCTCGGATAGCCACATCTGCAATTCATGTCGCTTTCACGTCTGCCACAACTGCTGCAAGCGTAAACTCATCGATTTTGCACATTATGATGTGTGCGATTCATGTTACGCTGTCAACAAAGTACGTCGGCCCAGAACCTAACATACTCCCATCCCTCAGATCACCCTCAACCGTGATTAACCTCAACCCCCGCGCGCCACCCCCCTTACCCGATAATCGTGTTCTAGGATCGCAAAGACTTTCTTCACGATTTCCCCTACGAGTCGCTGCCTCTGATGGGTGGCATTTTCACCAAGCGCGGTGAGCACCGTCGCAGTTGGAAGCGTCGGCGCTTTGTCATCGACACCAATGGCTTTCTCTCTTATTTTGACGAATATTTGGACGACCTCAAGGTTTGGCCGGCCATCTTGACAATCTTGCTATCTGCAAAAATTACTCATTATCAAGCCAATTCTCTCTGACTCACTGACCTTGCAATTGGTGCTTTGTCCTGCCGCTCCTCCCTCCCACGCAGCGGGTGGTGCCCCTCAAGGCTGTCAAGGGCTTTTATGTCGGCAGCACCTACGACACACGGGTGAAGTGGCCCAAGGACGCCGTCTCGACACAATGCGTCTTTGTTGAGCTGCCCACACGTCGCATGGAAATCGTTTTCCACTCTCTCTATGAGATGCTCCATTTCCGCTTTCTCGTCGCGCTCTTCAGCTCGGTGGTAGGTGCAATTGGTGGCCTTGCAGATGTGGCGAGGGGCTGGGCGTGAACAAAACCACAACTGACCAGTGTGCGCTCTTTGTTTCCATCTCTCATTGAGCCGGTTTTTGCAGTGTTTGGGCTGTGGCAAACGCTGTTTCTCGCGCGAACAGGTGGATACCTGCAGCGCTCTTGACGGCGGTGTCGATGCGCCGAGCCGCGCTCGGCAGTTGTTGGCTGCGCATAACGGCAATCCTGAAAGCAACAGCGATGTTCCCGCTCTGCCAGATCACACAAATGACCGTAACAGTGACTCCAGTGATGACTTGGCTTTCAACGCCGCTGGTTTGGTGCTGATCGAATGCCATGGCATCGTTCTACATGCCGACCATTACGTCTGTACGCGATGCGGCCTTCGCTTGCAAGAACCCTTTGTGGTGGTTGGCAAGCTTTGTTGCGAAAAGCATGCCCAAGAGGCTCTCATCGAGCTCGACCTTCCCCCGGAAACCCTTGTGGGTAATCTTGCAACACTCGTGTGAACTTTTTTGTTTGTCCTAACAATGGCGCTCTTCACTCGGATCAAATGTCCCTTGTTTGCCATCTTTAGCGTTGCTTTGGTATGGCTCATCCACGCCCTCTTTTTGTTTTGGTTTCTCAGGAGGAATGGCGCGTCGACCCAAACTCGGTCACGACGGCTACCCTGACAGACTTTGTCATGGCTCAAGATCGGGGTCTGCTGAACAAGGTCGATGCCATCCGTGAGCGCATGATTAGCTTGCAAGCTGATAGGGTCGAGGGCACGACTGCCGCCACGCCCAGCCTTGACACTCCAGTTCTCACTTCAAATGAGAGTGAGAAGGTGTGTCTCCCAGCATCGACTAACCACAACTCTGAAGCACCCGACTCCGTCGCACCAGGCTCCGAGCTGACGGGTTCTGCAGATAGCGGTTCGAATGCGGTGCGTTTCACCTTTTTTTTTTCTTTCTCATTTTCGCCTGGTTGACCCTCTGTCTTTCCTCTCACATTGATTCCTATGCATGTGCTTTCCCTTACCCTACAACTTCAGGACCTTGCCAAATCGCGCAATGCAGCTCAGCGACCAGGTCAGGGCGGCTCATTACCAATCCGTTTTTTTTTTTTTCCAAGACCTTGTTCTCTCTATGTGCGGGCCGAGACTTATCTCACGTGTGTATTGTCATATGATGCTCTGCCCCGGTCTGGTCTAGACTCGATGGTTCAAAGCATTTTCAATGGCATTCTCAGCTTAGCTCTTGATGATGTTGTCACGGATCGTGCGCAAACGTATGACCGCATGCACCTTTTGCTTTTTCATTTTTTTTTTTTTTTCCATTTCTTATTTCTCAGCATCCCAATGTCTCCCAATATGTGCGGTAACACTTGTGCTCACCCCTTCATTTCTTGCTTGCTAATCGCAGCGAGCGCAAGCGGCGCATGAACTTGGCTTTGGATTCGGGACAGGTCACTTTTGAGATTGTCGAGCACCAACCCGCGCACTTTCGCGAGTTTCGGCAACAGTTTGGGTTTTCAGATCAAGATTACAGCGACAGCTTTGCGACCGTTCCCGTCGACCTACTTGCCGCAAGTGGGGGTCGTTCTGGATCCCTGTTACTATTCACGCAGGACAAGCGCTTTATCATCAAGACGCTGCCGCGCGATGAATTTCAGGTCCTCATGTCCATCTTCGAGCGCTACAAGGAGCACCTCCGGGAGCACCCTCACTCTCTGCTATGCCGCTTCTGTGGCCTCTACGAAGTCGAGATTGTCAAGGGGTCCAAAAAGCAAACACAAATCGTCGTGGTCATGGAAAACCTATTCGCCCGCGACCCCAACTTGACCTTTCATGAGAAGTACGATCTCAAAGGCTCATTTGTCAACCGTGCGACCAACTCTCGGGCTGGTGTTCGCAAGGACATGGATCTGAGGTATGCTTCATGGACGGTGGACAGCAAAATATTTTGCAGGCGTGGTTGTAGACGTGGATACATTTCATTGTGGCTTATTTGATCGAACGTTCTAGGCGCAACTTTTTCATGTCAGAGTACCAGAAGAACTCGCTGGTTACACGCTTAGCGCACGACTCGCTCTTTCTTGAATCGCTCGGCATTATGGATTATAGGTATGTTGTCTGCAGGGCAAGCCCAGGCGAGAGCATTTCTGTCTCACTCTCGCTCTGTGCTTGGATTGTCATGAATCGCTGTTCAGCTTGCTAGTCGGGATCCACAACTGCCGCGACGATGGCATGTGCTGTGCTGAGCGTCGGCCAAAAGAAATTTCTCCCGATCGCGGTGCGTGCTTGCTTGCCTGCGATTATCTCACTTTGACGTGGTCAATCATAGCGGTGTGGTTCATGGTGTCTTGTTTTGACTATCTTTGCTTGCAACTTTCGTAGACGAGCAAAGCCAGGCTGATACACTCAAGTGGGGCGTGCGGGGCCGTGGTCCTGATCGTCATCATCCCGAGAAGGAATCCGTATTTTATTTTGCCATCATAGATATTCTTCAACGCTGGAACAGTTCAAAGGTATGCCATGGCAGCACCGCAACTGTCGGGCCAAGAAGTGGTGACTACTGTCTCCGAAAAGGGTTCTCCTCATGTGCATATGATCATGTTGCGTGCGTTTGCAGAAAGCGGAAAATTTTCTCAAGGTCCATGTCGCAGGAAAGAATGCTCAGGGCATCTCAGCCATTCATCAGACACAGTATTGCGAGCGCTTTCAAAAGTATTTCAACTCGATCATCTGTGTTCAGCGGCAAAAGTCCCGCTCGGCATCAACGACAGTGCACAGCTCTGCTCCACCTCCCGAAGCGCTTGACAATTCTACCGTTTCTGCCCCAGCGGTCATGCAGGAACCGTCGACACTCAAGTCAACCATTCCACCTTTGACGGCGCACGCTGAGCAGGACGAGGCAGAAGCGGAAGTTCGAGAGGCGTTGGGCGATTCTGAGGTTCAAACGCAAGACCCGCGAGTCTCCGATGCATCAACGACATCGCGTGCGCAACCAAGTTTGATTGAGGTCGAGGCGGGGACTCAGTCCGATGTTGGGCAAGGCGAAGGTGACATAGCCGATTCCGACCCTTTGCCGCCCAAGCCCTTGGCTGAGGAACCTGCCGAGGAACCTGCCGAGGAACCTGCCGAGGAACCTGCCCCTCCACCAAGCAAGGTGGGCCGTCCTTCATTTTCGCAGCGAACATCTGGAGATTGGGTGAAGGTCGACATGCTGGCTTCGGTTTCCACCCCGGCGACTGCAGGTTGCGATGATCAAGATCAAACCAAGGCAGCACCTATCCAATCTGCGATGGCCGATGTGGATCGTGACCCACCGGCAGGGATGGTCGGCACCAATGATGCGTCAATACAAGAGGCCACGCCGAGTTGCACCGTCATCAATGCCGATGAGACAGCGGCCGAGGCATGACATCGTGCTCGTGCATGAGCGCATGGCCACTTCGTGCGTCTAAGGGTCCTTTTTGTAAACCAGTAAAGCGATGTGTGGACAAATGGGCCAATTGATGAGACCAAATTATTTTTTCCTCTTCCTCTCTCTCTCTTGACAGGAAAAAAAGGACATGGCATTGCAGTCGATGAAAAGAATGTGGACAACAAGGTGGCTAAATTTCTGCGTTGGGGTGCACGCCTCAGGTGGCACCCTGGTAACTACTACAACACACTATGCGCCATGTCGAGGGTTTCGAGCTGGCACACGATAAAAGACCATAACATGAAGACGCAACCAGCCTTGAAGGTGCAGAAGCGTCAAGGCGTGGGCGCACGCACAAATATACAGGCAAACACATGTGAAGCATAGAAAGAACAAGGATACACGCCGAACGAGCAAACTACAAGATTTCATCACCGATGAAGCGGTTGCCTTGCGAATCCTTGCCGAGGTACTCGTAGGTTTGCTTGTGGATGACGGCAAAAGCATCGTCGGCGGCCCGGGCATCGCCCTCGAGGGGGGAATATTCGCTGTTGCGAACGCGGGCGCTTCCCATGGCCTGCTGCAGTACCGAGATCCATTTGTCACGCACGTCCATGTTCGTACACTGGCAGTGGATTGTGCGCGCGCCGGTGCGCGAGAAGGGGGTTTTGGCTTCAAAAATAAAACTATCGGCAGGACAGATGCCGGAATGAGCGGCGGCGTAGACTGTATGGGAACAACGTGGCAGGCTGGATAGACGGACGGACCTCTGATCACCGCGGGCAGAGATGTTTTTGATGTTATCCATCTCACAGGTACCCAGCAGCTCGCCTCCTTCAACTGTGTAATATGACAGGCCTGCATCGGTCATCTGTTGCACGAGCCAGAGGTAAGGTCATTGAGTCCACTTTCAAGTCAAGGCATAGGGCACGGGACCGAGGCACGGGTCATAGGGCAATGGCAATGGAAAAAAGAAAAGCATTTAAACGCGTCGGGCTGAGGATAAGTTCGGTGGCACGTACCCGAAACCAGCGGGTTCGCGAGAGGGAGCCAAAATTCTGAAGCTTTACGAGTGCCCCCTCAATGTACAAGTGTTCACCAGTTTTGCTGGCTTCGGCTTCGTTGTCTCCTTGATGAACGACGCCCAGCGCAGTCAGCCACTTGTCATACTTCAACTATAGTTCCACCGTGTCACAAAACCCCCAAAACGCATGGTGAGAAGGATGGAGCCATGGATACGAACATGCAGGCAGGCGGCTCTGCCGACGAAACCACGTGAGCGGACCTGCGGGGTGCGGGCTTCGAGGACCATTTCAAGCTGCTTGCTCGCGCCAAAGGGGCGAGTGGTCTTGATGGTGAAGCGGGGACCATCGGTGGAGAGGATGTCCGCAATGGCGTTGCGCTCAATGTACGCGATCAGTTGTCCAGCGTCCTCGGTGTAAAAGGCCAGGTAGTTTTTCGTCAAGCGAAACCAGCGCGTGCGATTGCGGGCAAAGCCACGAATTTTGCGCAGGTATCCCTCGGCCACCAGCTGATCGCCCACGTCTTCCATGCGCATGCCCATGGGACAGATGGGGTTGGCGAGGTCTGATTGCAGCTGAACCGCGTCGTCATTCATCGTGCCGGCCCGTTGGCGCTGCGTGGCCGCGCGCGCTCGTTTCGGCTCGCCCGTTGACAGAGCACTGTCTAGCAACGTCTGGTTTGCCACCAAAGCACTCATCCTGGCGGTGCAATCGGTTTCAAGCCGCCTCGATCGCCTAGACAGGGGATACACAGACGATCAAATCAGCCCGAACGCACAGACGACATCAACGGTAAGCTGACATGCAGAAACGCGAGAGCGTGCGTGCGACATGGCTCGAACCCCCAGTGCCCATCGATCGCCCACACACACACACACACACACACACACACACACACACACACACACACACACACATTCATCCCCCCCAACCGTCACCGCCGCTGCCATTTCCATCTCTCACACACACACACACACACACACACACACACACACAGAGACCTCGTGTGTCATGCTCCTTCGATGTGCCTTACACTTGCTTGTAGACCTCTTCTTCCCTGCCCAACGTTCTTACTTACGTTACGGAGTGCGAAAATGCAAAGACGAACAACAGTGAAAAGGAAAAAGAAGAGAAAAACTTTTTTCTTGAATGTCAGCGTGTGTGTGTGTGTGTGTGTGTGTGTGTGTGTGTGTGTGTGTGCACGTGGTTCAGTTCGCGTTTCATGCTGTGAATTTTTGAGAGCAGTTGTCATGAACAAATGAAGGAGGCGGGGGGGGGGGGGAGGTGGTTCGTGCACCACGCTGACTCGAGTTGGTTGCCTTTGAATGATAACGCTAGCCTGGGGCACGGAGCGACTTGCTCATTCTTCATCGATTGCAGCAGGCAACGGCCATGAGGAAAAAGACTTTCAAGAAGCAAAGGAAGACAACAGGTAGGTCATGTGACAGCTCGGGTAGGCCGAGCAGGGTCCAGGTCACAGAAAAAAGGAGAAAAACAAGGGCCACTACGGGTGCAATAGAGAACCAAGACAGGGAAAGGCCACAACAAGAGCACATACGAGACAAGATCGGGTCGGGAACAAGACATGCAAAACACACCCTTCTCCGAAAGTAGCGTGTCAGAGCGCACGCACACAAAAACATGATACAAGGAGGTAAAGGTGCGTCATTATAGAGACGCGACGGGCATGACGACGCTCTACATAAGAAATGAAGAGAAAACATGACACTCAAACGATACAGCCCCAGAGGCGCGTCGGTGCAAGTACTCGTACACTCGCAGAAAAGTCGGATGTCGCAAGCCCGCCCGCATCACGACGCCTCCTCGCTGTGAAACAACAACAAAACATTCGAGCAGAAACAAACAAGAGGAGCATCACCTCCAAAGTCTAATGTCCTTGGAAAGCATCCGACACTCGCTCCATCATTTCTTGATCCGACTCAATATAAGGTTTCAGCTGGCTTTGGATGTTAGCATCCGCCTGAGAAAAGGAAAGGGAGGCCACGAAAGAGGCAAGAAGCAACCAGAGGCAAGCAGTGAGGGTCAAATTTGCAGGAAAAAAAAAAGGGGGGGGGGGGGGGGGGGGGGGGGGGG